GTGGTTTTTTTGTCCCTTTTTTTTGCAAAAGCAGGGGAATTTTTAGGCTAAAACGTTAAAGCTCGAAATCGTTAATCCCGTATTTTTTAATGCTCCGTTTCCGTAAAGTTTTAGGCTTAGGCCTAAAATTGCGAAAACTCTTAGCTTATTAATTAATAAAGTAATTTTGTCGAGTTAATTAGAAAGCGCCTTTTTTAAGGTATTAAAAGTCGGAAATAGTTCGTTTTTAAAGTTATTAATACGCTTTATTTATTTTTTTCCCTAGCTAGGCATAATTTTAATATTTATAACGCGTAAAAAGTCCTTAACGGCGAGGGCTTTATAAATTTTAAAGACCTAATACGTCCGGGCTTTTACTCGCTTAATTTTTTATTTAAGGAATTATTTTTAAAAGTCCTAGGCTTTAGTTATAATAATAAAATAAAGCTTATATTATAGTTTTATGCGCTTTATATAATTAATTTTATTTAATTCGTAAAAAGCCTTAAGCTATTTAACGTAATATTTAAAAATATATTCCTTTACTTTTTCCGTTTTAACTTTAACGATTTATAGGAAGCCGGGGTTTATTATTTTATCGATTTATTTTTTTAGGTAGTATATTTTGTTAATTTGGGCGGAAGTAACGTTAGATGAGATTTATTTAGTGGAAATTTCTTTGTTATATGCTTTTTAAAGCGTAAGATTTGTAGGCACGGGCTTTTTTTTCGGAGCTTTTCCTTTTTTAGTTTTTTCCTATTTTATAATAGCTGCTAGGTGCTTTTTTTTAAATTGCTTTTAAAGGTCTTTAATATATTTTTTAATTATTAAAAGGGAAAAGCCTTTTTTTAAGGAGAAAAAGCGTAAAATCTAAATCTACGAAATGCTAAATTTTAAAATAATTTGCTAAATGCTTATATTTAAGGAATTAGTTAGGCTAGTTATATTTTTTATTAAGCTTAATATTAGCTTTAAATTTTTTAAATTTAGATATTTTTAAACGTATAATAATAAAAAAATAAATTAAAATTAAAAGCTAATGCTATATATTCCTTTAAAATATAATAATAAAATGCGGAATATAAAATATAGTAGTTTTACGAATAAACCGGGCTTATAATTATAATATAGTTAAAGGAGTATATAAAATAGGTTTAAAAAAGTTATAATATTAAAATAAGCTAAAAGCGTTAAAAGGTATAGGTATAGTTATAAGGTGTATTATATTTATTTAAGTTTTAATTAAAGAGGGAGTATATAGTTTTATTTATATATTTATTTATTAAAAAGATTTGTTAACTTCCTTAGAGCGTACGGACCTTTTCCGTAAGCTCCTTGCTTTTAATAAGGACATTTATATGCTCCCTATATCTGGTATTTTAAGGACCCTTAAGGTCTAACTGACTGCCACATTAAAAGATGTCCTTAAATAAGATTTTGGCTATAAAAAAACAAAGAGGGAAAAAGAAAAAAAAGGCAAAAGTCACGATCCATTATATTTGTAATATTACGGGTTTTTAAAAGCTAAATTGCTAAGTGCTAGGCTACGCTGCTAACTTACGGCTATTTAAAAAGGATAACCGCTATATATAATTATTCCTTATAATTTATAAAAGCAATAAAAAAGGCTGGATAATTAGTGACTTTTTTAAATTTTATTTATAATAATTTAATAATTAAATAATTAAAAGGAAAGTCCTCTTGCTAATTAATGGCTTTAGCGCTTATAAAACTAGCCTTAAATACGTTAAAAATCTAGGTGGTTTAAAAAACACTAAAATTAAGATTTTGCCAGCTAATTATACGTCATTATATTAGCCCTTAAATTAAAGAATTATTAAAAATTTTAAAATTTAATATCGCAAAAGCTAGCTAAATTTTACAATTATTAATTTAATTAATAAAAATAACGTTAACACTATTATAAACCTATTATAAATTATTATTTAAATAAACTTAGCATAAAAAGATATTAAATTATAGCTTATTATTAATTATTAGCGAAAAACTACACTATTTAACCTAATTTAAGGTCCTAAAATTAAGCCAGCAAATTAGGACAATAAACAGGCTAAACTAAATGCTATCGCTAAATAAATCCAGCAGCTTAAATTATTAAGGACCATTAAATTAGCGATAAATCTAAATAATTTCCTTAATTTAAAAGGAAAGAATTAACTAAAAAAGGCTATTAGGGACTTTAACAATATATTAAATAATATAACTCAAGCTTATATAATGTAATTATATACTAATAATAATAATAAAGGTAATATAATCCCTAAAATCCTAATTAAATAAGCACTAAATTTTATTAAAAATATAATTTTATAAGCCGAATAATAGGCTAAAAGAGATTTGCAGTTCCTTTTATTATTGCGAAAGCATTAAAAATCACTTGCAATAAGGCATTAACGCGAAGTTATTAATAAAAAAACATAACGCATTATATATAATTTCTTTAAATAATAACTTTATTTTTTGCCTATAAAAATTAAGTGGCGAAAGGATGTAGGGCGTATAAGCTATTAAAATAACGCTTTATAAGGATTAAAAAGCTTGCAAAAATATTATCCTTATAGCCAAAGTTAGTTATACATATATACATAGCCGGGGAGCTTAGCATAAGAAATTTTAAATAGTGGGACTAAGGAGTCCGCCGAATCCTTATGGTATATAGCTTACATATATATATTAATATTATCGATAAGTGGTATATTTACGTCCTTCGTACACTATGGTTAAATGCAAATCTTGCCCAACGACCTATTATAATAAATATAATAAGAAACATAAATAATGCCTATAAACTAACACCACTAAATTATTATGAGTAATTGCTTTTAAAACTTTAACCTATTAGAATGGCATAATATTATGGCCTAAATAAAAGAGCGCGGACCTTACCTCATATTAAATTAAAACTATTTAACAATGCGCATCCGGCTCACTAAATGGCCTCTTGCCTATAAGATTTTCAATGTCATGAATTCAACTATTAATAAAGAAGTTAACTAAGAACATTAATGAGCTTAACGCCTATATGCAAGTCTCTCTTAAACACGAAAGGGTTAGGTAGAATCACAAACGGTTTCTAACACGCTATCGCGTGGTTAATTTACCTGAAATTGTGCCTAGGTATTTACCAACGCACTTGTGATTTTTTAGATACCAAAATAGTCTTGTAAATTAATGACGAATGTTTTGAGTGTGCCGCGAAAATATGGTGAACTCTCATTAAATCGTTGCAAAAGCAATCACATTCATTTAAAAATTAAAAATATAAACGGCTTTCTAATATAAAGGCAAATATACTATGCTAATAGCAATAGCTCACCTCGGATTTTCGAGATTAGCTTTTATCATTTAATTTAATTCCCCGCTTTATCATACGAATTCATAAGACATGTTTTCACAGTGTTAATATTTTGTGACTTGCGATTAATTGTCAATATTAATTATTTAAATTTTAGCGACGGTAAAATGATTTATGCATCCTGCCGGAAAGATAATTAACGATAAAGTGTAAATTATTAGCGAGCGCTTTCTAAGCTGCCATTCGATAACGATTTAAACAAAAAGTTCATATCCCCTTAGCTAGCGAGCACCACCCTTTTTGCTTTAATCGCTAAGAAGTATTTATTAGGATAGCTAATAATATATGCGGATGCATACCTCGAACGTTTAGCTGGAATAATTTAGTATTAATAATGAAAACTTGATTCTTCCACTTAATATAAGATAAATAAGCATTTAAAATATTTAAATATTATTTTTTCATTTTTTTTGAACCCGATTCATAAGGAGTAAAATGCAAAGAAACGCGGAGGCTTTCGTTGAAATAATGGGCTGTACTCCAGTTTTCCCAGACTTAGCGTACCTAACCTACCATATAAGGCAAGGAGGGTGCTCGCCAGCTAAGGGGATAAAGGGAAACACAGCGCTAAAGGGGATGTCATATCGAATCAGACTTCAGTAACTAAGGTGCCCAATCAATAGCTTAAGTATTTCTTACAGCGGCTTAAAATACCATGCCCGTCGGCATTGGCCCGGGACAATGCATGAACCTTGCTTTTTCAGGATATTGCTAAAGTATGGTCATTATTCAACATGATTTGTCCCTCCCTGGAAACGGCCTGCATAACAAGACCTATCTCAAACCAAATTCATTAACGCGGCCCCCAATGACTACGCGCATATTGCTTTTACGTACACCAAGAACAAGTCCCACCTATCTGACTCATGATCTCTCAATCAGATCCACTGCTTTTCATCCGCCCACATTCCCGGATTTGCACATACTTAGTAATTTGTAATAAGCCAGTTGACTTTCACCCAAGCAAGAAAAGCCCGGTTAGCTCAATTGGTTAGAGCGTTGGACTTTTACATCAACATCCTGATGCCGCTGTCATCCAAAGGCTGCGAGTTCGACCCTCGCATCGGGCGATGTTTCTTTTTTTAGCGATTTCTCCTTCGAAAGTTGAGAGATTCATATGCCCTCCTGGCTTTATCATCCATTTTTTGTCGCCACTTGTTTCTCCTCACTGTTTTATGGCGCTTATGCCACTAGATGCGAGCCTTGCGTTTTTTCGCTAATGGTTAATTGTTCCCAGAGCCACTCTCGTAAGCGTAGTATATTCCGGATTATATAATGTATATATATATATGGCAGGGATAATTCTACTATAATTTGAATATCTTTACTTTTTAATGGTATTAGAACCAAGGACGGTAACACTACAGGTTGGGTTGCTTACTAGTGTTCGCTTCGGCAGTCAAAGGATTGGAAGTGAAACAATTTTCGAACAGGCTAGTCAAGGACATTGAAGTCGGTTCGAGCGACGGTTGCTTTAATTACCTACTTCTTTTCTTTTTCCCTCATATGTCTTCACAACTTTTTATCTGTGAACTTTCCGCTAATCTTGGACTACATTAGCAACTCGATGCATGTAATTGAGCTTTATGATTCAATGTCCACTGCCACCACTCTAGCAAACCGAACATGCTCTCCATATATTTTCTCAATGTAGAGTACTGTTGCTATTGAAGATAGTCAATGGGAATGCATCAGCAATGGCCTGATAGCCTTTTGGATTTGGGTGCAAATGATCACCACTGTCGTATTGACTTGCCAAATTCGCCGGATTCCCCGGATCTGCCAGGACCTTTGCAAAGTCGATTGCCGCATCAAAACTACCGTTGCCACCGCCCAAGATCCAATTGTTTACACGCTGTCTGGTCGCTTCTCGCGTTGGGTTACTGTAGCTCTGTCCGTTGCCGCCGAACGGCGTGATGGTGGCTCCAAATACTATGATCCCGGCCTTGTGCGCGTCCGAGGCGATTTGTTGAAAACTAGATATGAGCTGGTCTCCTATGCGAGATTGGGTCGAAGAGTCGGCTGAGCCGCCACCAATATCGTTGACACCCTCGAATATGATAGCATACTTGACTCCCGCCGTCTGTAGCAGATCTCGCTTGTAGCGCTGCATGAGAGGTGGGCCTAGGCCACCAGAGAGAACAGTATTGCCACCGGCAGCTTGATTATCTGAAGCGATATTGGTTACGCCGGATTTTTGCATCTTTTCCAAGACGAGATCTGGCCATCTGCGTGAAATGAGTTAGCCCATTAGACACAAAAGTAGAAGATTGGCCCAACATTTGGACTACTCACCTATTGTTTGCATTATCAGTACTCCCTCGTCCATCAGTGATGCTATCGCCGAGAATAACTAGGGCAGATGTTGGTTCGTCTGCCCATGCCTCGACAGCACTTAGGAAATACCAATGCACAGTGCTTGCCCCCGTTACTGCACTCGCATTCACATGATTTCCCCCTTGCATCCAAGATGTTGTTCGGCTTCCTGGGTGACCGGTGATGCTGTTTCCGGTTTGCCCTGCTTGTAAATATAGAGTGACCGTAATCACTGACTGTGCTGGTACCGGAAAGTCAACGGCGTCCGTGTAGACTACCTGACCTTTCGGAATTGTAGTCGAAGTTGACCCATTGAAGCTGAGCCCAATAATGTGCGAAGAATCAATAGTATTGGCTCCTGCCTTTCCGTCCGCTGGAAACGCCAGTGATGCTGCTGTGATGGGGAGATCACTACCTCCAAATGCATTGGATAGCTGAAATCGAAAACGTCCGCCACCAACGGATAGGTGAACAGTTTGACGTAGCGTAGCATCTTTGAACATCGAACTGCCTTGCTTTTGGCCGGGATTATTATAAATGCAAGGTGCACCATACAGGAGGACTCACAAAGGGGGACGGCGGTAGATTGCTCTGCTCTACCAATTGTGGCATGGAAGTCCATGAAGCAACCCAGTGATACCCATTTTGCCGACTTTGTAATGAACCCTCGTCAAAGGGTACGGCCTGGGAAGGGAGTAGGAGCAGAAACAGTGACAGTACCTCAGCAACAAAGCTCCAAGCCCTCGCACTTTGAGTATACGTGGACAGCATGTTGAGAATTCATTGACTTTGAGGGGTGTCCAGTAAGTCAACCTTCAAAGTCAGCTTGACCCGGCGCCATTCGCATTTTTAACCCATGTACTACCAGTTCGTAGGCGTTGCCGGAGACATGTTCTCCGTGTCTGTATATTGGGCCTACAAGAAACATATTTAGCCGCAAAAGGGTTAAGTTGTTCAAAGGAATCGTCGGGTCCACTGAAGGCGCCTTGAGGGTGCATTCTGGGAAGAGCTGTTTCTTTGAAATATACCTTTCCAGGCGGCAGTTGATCACTCGATTCCGAATCTAAGCGGCAGCAAAAAGGGCGGAACAAGCAGCGCACTGAACGCTGGGCTGGGAGGAGACGATTGGTCGATGGGAGCCGAAGGGGGAAAACACATAGCCGGTGGTGGATAACATTTCCCCAGACTTGGCGATCCGGGACAACGGGAAGCTTGCATTAGACTTGGCCGTGGATCTGTAAGAGGATAGTAGTGATATAAATAGTATACAAATATGTCGACTATAAAGACTTTCATGATCTCATGTTACTGCGATGTTCTATATCATGATGCGTGCCCAAACCTCAGCCGCGCGATGCCATCCAGGCGCCTCGTTTGCGATGGCCGACAAAGCTCCGAGCACGGGCTTAGAGCCGCCCCGAAGACGTCAGCTATGCATAGATTTCTCCGATATCCGGCACATACCTGTCCATTGATTGGCACCTGCAATTCGGGCGGTGTGTCGGGAAGGGCGAAATGCACACAGAACGAATGATGCAAAAACGTGCAGAATATTATCTGACGCCAAAGGTCTGTAGGTCTGGACCGTCCGCTTAGTGATCCACTTTGAAAGGATTTCTAAAGCTATTTGCCGGCGTATCGAGGGGCTCCATTCTCGGAGTTTTTAATACAAACGTTTTGTTTCCTCTCCTTCTGTCTGGCTTTTTGCGAGCCATGACTTCATCATGGGAGTCTGCACGTTACAAGGTGTGGAAATTAGACGACGGGCTCCAGGTAGCAGACGAAGGAAAAAGGAAATCATGTTGTAAATCTCTCATCGGCGTATGTTTGCAAATGATCATGATGACTACCTAGGTATGTACCTTGGAGCCATGCCTGTGCATGATACGTACTGCGTAGTACATCTGCCCCCAATCTTCAGCAGCCAATTCGATGCGATATATTTCTGCTTTACAACCAGATCCATGAAAGCACCGAGTGGGATCATGCCCTTTCCTTCGTCTCTTTCTTGACGTTATTTTCTCTTTTATCTATACCACATTCAAGCTGCAACATTTCAAATTGTGGAACGTCTTCATTTCATATTTTTTATGATTACAATAATCGTTTTTATACATTTATAAAAGGAAAGACGAAGAAGAACAAGCAGAAAAGAAAAAACCCCCCTTCCTGGTTAGCTCTAGCGAATGCGGTGCCACCACGACCCAATCCTCAAGTTGATGGCACTTTTTAGCATGCACATAAGGTACCTGTAATTGGAGCTGGGTTCGGTACATTAAATACTACCCCACCGCATAGTTCAGGTACTTGGAGCAGCAGCATTCATGTTTCCAAATCTCAACAACGACAATTCCTGGTATAATGCAATGGATTATCGTGACAAGAAATTGGGGCCATCAATTGGCTTCACCAGTCTATTGAATATACGCATCAATTTCTGCAGCGCAAGAAAAACCCTTGATTTGATAAGCCTCGCCCCTGCTCTTACATCATACTATCAGCAGCCCCGAAGATTGATCCTGGGCGGTAATGCAGTGATGGGAAGAAAATTTACGGGCACCTACCTCCACACTTTCTGGGCGCCGGCCAATTCACTGGCTGATTAAGTGATTGATTGCACACTCACGACTACATCTGAGTCATAGGGCCTGCTTCAGTCGGACTCCGACATCTCTTCTGAGACTTTGAACCACTTACTCTACTTCTCTCTTCGTGTTGGAGTTGCTGCTGTTTGATAATCAAGCAAAACGAACCGCTCTGCACTTACCTCAGCTCATCCCATTCCTTCTCATCCCCACCAGGAACCATTACTTTTTATCTCTCTCCCCTACCCTCCTCTTCTCTCTTCCCTTCTTCTCTGTACAACTTCAAGCATCTATCCGTTTCACCCGCCTTCCCCGTCCACGTCTTTACCTGACCTCCCCGTCTCAGACGTTTGATAGCAACCTTTGCTCACCACGCAGGCATTGTGGTAACCCTGAACCTGCCTCACGTTACGGGAAGACCACAAATCGACATGGCTTCCCTTCAAGTGGATGACACCAGAAGTAGGTATTACAAATTCTGCATCGGCCTCATCTGTCATGCCTTGCAACCTCCCCAAATGCACCGGGGACAACACAGCTTGACCACCATGTCAGCAGCGGGGCAGATCCTTTGACCGGGTTCCTACCTTGACTGGACTGCCGCTTCCCACAGCTTATAGCTGCCTGCACCGAAAGCTCTTGACAAGCTTCCCTCTTCATCTTGTGTCCTCATCATTGCTACACCATTATTCGATACGATCGGGAGTGATGTTCAAGGTTAACGATCTTTCAGTCCTGGGTCAGGATCCCCTGATCCCACCTGCTTTGCTGATCTCCGAGGTTCCCATGACCGAGACCGCTTTGCAAACGGTCGTCAAGGGCCGCCGCGAGGCCGCTGCTATTGTCATGGGCAAGGATGACCGCCTGCTGGTCGTTGTTGGGCCATGCTCTATCCACGATCCTGCCATGGCTCACGAGTACTGCATACTTCTGCGTCAGTTGTCAGAAAAGCTCAAGGACGACCTCTGTATCATCATGAGAGCTTACCTTGAGAAGCCTCGCACCACTGTGGGCTGGAAAGGTTTGATCAACGACCCTGATATTGATGAAAGCTACAAGATCAACAAGGGCCTGCGGATATCACGCCAGATGTTCTGCGATCTTACTGCAAGTGGCATGCCTATTGCTAGCGAAATGTTGGATACAATCTCTCCTCAGTTCCTGGCAGATCTGATCTCAGTTGGAGCTATCGGTGCCAGGACTACCGAGTCCCAATTGCACCGAGAGCTTGCTTCGGGTCTGTCTTTCCCCATCGGCTTCAAGAACGGCACGGATGGAAACCTTGGAGTAGCCATTGATGCAATTGGCGCCGCCGCCGCCAAGCACCACTTCATGGGTGTGACCAAAGAGGGACTTGCTGCCATCACGCGAACCAAGGGTAATGAGCATGGCTTCGTTATTCTCAGAGGCGGCACCAAGGGAACCAACTACGATGCTGAGAGCGTCAAGGCAGCCAAGGAGACTCTGATCAAGAAGGGCCAGAAGCAGGCTATTATGATTGATTGCTCCCATGGTTAGTCCATGCTATTTCTATCTGTCAAAATTTAAGCTAAATTCTTCTCCAGGCAACTCGAATAAGGATCACCGCAACCAACCCAAGGTTGCCAAGGTGATTGGAGATCAGCTCCGCGACGGAGAGAACGCTATCATTGGCGTCATGATTGAGTCAAACATCAGAGAGGGCAACCAGAAAGTCCCACCCGAGGGCCCTTCAGGCCTCAAGAAGGGAGTCAGTATCACCGACGCTTGCATCGACTGGAATTCCACCGTGGCGGTACTCGAAGACCTGGCAGCCGCCATTCGGGAACGCCGAGAGAAACACAAGACCAGCGCAAACGGCCACGCGAATGGTAATAGTACCGGCCAAGTCACTGTGCTTGAGGAGAATCTGGGATAGTTATTCATATGCAAGCATGCACTCATCCCAACGCAAGGAAAAGAGACGGCGAAGAGGCCAAACTAGAAGCAATGGATTTCAATGGAATGAGAATATGTCCACCGGGGAAAATGATACGGCGTTTTGATCTGTCTTTTATCTCAATCTTGAAAAATGAATTTTTTTTTTTCAAAAAAAAAAAAGAGGAAATCAGCCTATAAAGGCAGCTCTAACCCAATGAAGCGTCAGGGTTCACTTCTTGTCCCATTCTTCCCCCTTTGTGTTTTCTATTGGTAGGCGGCTTTGATTGATGACCAGCGTACCTATGAAATGTTTGGTATCGGTAACAAAAGCCCAACTGAGTAGGTACCTAGGTAGGTGTATGGAAACGTGCGCGTCGTTTTTCTTTTTCCTTTTTTGCCCCAGGTTCCTTTCTTTGGGTCATATATTTGCCTATCATCTCCCACCTGTAGCTCCGACTGGCGCATAACTTCCACGATCAGCTCTGCTTGGTAGACCGATCCTGCCACTCGCTGCCGCAGCCTTTTTCCCTTCCCGAAATTCTACGGCCCTCTTGACGCCGGCCCATCCTAATAACCCCAGCGTGCCTACAATGAAAGCCCAGACGATAATCATATCCTTGCGCGAGTCTCGCTGAAAGCACATGGTGACCACGTCCTTCTCCTCTGCGTTCTTGCAGATGGGCAAATTGTAAGCTAGACAGAAGGCGCGGGTACACTGTGCGCATGAGCTTGAAGCCGCTCGTTTCGAAATAGACGGCGGTGGTTCGGCGGTGAAGGGATTCAGCGAGCGGAAGAGAGATTGTGTATTGGTGGAAGGGTCAGCGGGAGAAGAAGACGCCGAATCCTTGGGGCCAAGGCGCACGATTGTGCTATTTGTGAAGCAGGTGCATTTGCAAAAGGTCGGAGCCGCTATCAACACTTGTCAGCGCCATCGCGTTCTGTAGATGGACCAGCCAGACTGTCGTTAGGTCATCCCGATGATTGGATGGATCTGAAGAGAGCGTGATTGATGTAGAGACTGCGCGGTGGACGATACATACATTCCGCGGCGGCCAGCGCCACTAAGGCGCCGAGAAGCAGGAGGAGGACTCGGAAACGCATCATGGTGGTGGCATTGGAGGTCAAAGAAACATGTGGCGGCGACAGACTGCCTCTCAGATCAGAGTAGACAAGCTGGTGTGCATCGTCGAGGGAAATCAAGAGAGATCTCACTACTGTCAAAAAGTGGTAGACAGCATACAGACCTTCCAAAGGCTGGTGGAATGCCTCGATGAGTCCCTCCTGTCTGGTGGTTCAATCAATGGATGCAAAGGTAGTGTGGGTACATTACGTTTCCAAGTATCCTTTGTACATCTGCGTAACTTGCATAGAATAAATTGTGGCTCAACTCAATGCTGTACATGTGCCCCAAGCCACCGCGACTCAAATTGTGGGGCTCGTTGGTGTGATCCTGGCAGAAAAGTTCACCTCTCTTTGAACCTGGGAAGCTCTAGACCGACGCCCTCGATTGTTGCAGCACGGAAATCGACATTCTGCGCACAATTCCTGACAGAAAATGAGGAGGATAGCGAGGTTAGGTCAGCCTTCAGCTTGGCAATGCTCAGCATCGAGGCAGCTCATTGCACCTCTTTCGACGCAATGCGCCGCAGCTGGAGCAGCACCCCTTTCCACAGCTCAAGTCGCGACGAGGACAACATCCGCCTGTTCTATGCGCCTTTACTCGCAAAAGACCTCACTGCCTCAGTCCTTGTCAGATGAACCGACGCCCTCATCGACAAAGAATCTTGGACGAGATGAGCTATCCCAGAGTGAACTGGAATCTCTAGCAGAAACCGCTGCAGAGGAGTACCGCACACTGGAGGGTACCTTCCGACCGCCGCCAGCCCGCCGCACAGCAGTTTCAGCCGATCAAGTCAAAGATCCTTCATATAATCCTGCTGTGTCGGCTGCAGGCCTGTCCACAGTCGGGGGCTTGGAAAACTGGTGGGACCGTCGCGAGAACTGGGACAAGAGCGGGGATTTCGCTGGTTTCAAGGCCAAGAAGAAGATCCAAGATCCCCGAGTCTTGGAGACTGCCGTACGCAGGGCAGTTGTAGAGACGATCGTCCTCAAGAGGGCTGGGCGTGAGGGCGAAATGACGGCGATATGGCCAATTGGTGCCGCGGAGGAATTGGCGAGAGCGCTGGCTCTCGATGTCCAATGCAACTCGAGTGGCGAAGCCACGCTTGTCGGAGATCATGGTGCCGTGGCCGAGGATCTCTCCTGGGAGGTGCAAGAGACGAGAGATTCGGAGAGGCCCGCAAGCAGTGGCATCCCCATGTGCTCAGTCGAAGAGGCAACGGCATATCTTAAATCTTGGGACCCTACGTGGACACACTTTCCTCTCGCCGATCCCAATGTCAAGTTTGCGGTTAGTCAACCAGCCCGTCATGCGTCGTGATATATTTTGCTGACAAGATAATTTTGCCCTGTCCTTTTAGATCACGAAGCGTATCTTTCAATTGACCGGCCAGCTTATTCCCGACCACAAACTCGCCGCCATTAGCAATGTATCCTCTTTGCTTGCCACCTTCAGGAAACCACCGAAGCCCAAGACCTTGACCGAAGACATTCAAAAGCATGGCCAACAGCTGGTGCGCCTATCAAATGTCGCATTCTCCCCCAAGCAAGTAACACGTGGTGACAAGGCCAAAGCAATTGGTCAATACAAGCTTATTGAGGAGGAATTCAGGAAGAGAGATCTTCACCATGGACACCTGTCCGTTCCCGCAACACGGGAGAAGTATTGGTTCAAAGGCGAGGCTTGAGGTGCAGGCGCGAGTCGCCCGTGAAGCTGGTGCAAAACTATCTCACCCACGAGCTTATGTAAAATCAAAAGACCTGTATGTACTATAGGGCACGTTACGAATTGACCAGATCACGTGCCTACGATAATGGCCCCTTTGATATGTATTCATCATGTTAGGCTTTCTCGTATAAATTACGTCGTGCTATGATTCATGTGCTTGGTCGGGTATGAATATGCGTGCAAAGTTTCAAGTCTGCAACTGAGAAATGCGGTTTGATCAGCTCAATTGACGTAGAGCACAATTAGAACTCTTGAAGCGGAGCTGTATACGGTGTCGAGACTGGAGGTGGATCATGGCTCGTTTCAACTTCTGCCGGAGGGACGCCTCCGCCTAGGTACTAATAGACGCATTCTCTCCCCTACTTGCGCCAATTTTACCCCTTCAATATACCAACATACAAAATTTGCTATCATCTTGTTGCACTTGGCGAAAATGGAGTACGCACACATTACGGCCAGCGATGGCTGCAAGCTCGCTTTTCAAACCTCCCTACCCCTCAGCCCAATCCCCACGGGAGACGCACGATACAAGAGGCTCATTCTCCTGATACATGGGTTTTCAGGCTCATCGGCCTATTTTCAGCGCAACGTTCAGAGTTTGTCGGCTGTCGCGTGGGTCGTGGCCGTAGACCTGAGGGGTCATGGTGCATCCGGTCGCGCTCAAGGAGGGTATCATGTGGCGCGGTTAGCTGCAGATCTAAGGGAGGTTATCTTCCATTTGCGTTCGTCTGCTGCCTCTCGTATCTCTGGCGGGGACATCAGCATCCTACCTGTTGGCTGCTCCATTGGCGCCGCCATCCTTTGGACATATTCTGAGCTCTTTGGCGATGCCGGCATTGCTGGCTACGTTTTTGTTGACCAGGCACCTCTGCAGGACCGCTCATCGTTCGATTCATGGGACCAGTCCAAGGCACACCGTGGTTGTTTTGATGAGGCGTCCATGCTGGCCGCCCAAGATGCCTGGATCTCAGAGCCAGAGAATGCGTTCAGAGGTCTGGTGAATGATTGTCTGGGATATCGCTTCGCTCCGGTCGCTGGGGAAGACATCAGTGAGGAGCGCTCAAAGGCAGACGAGGAGTTCTTCATGGGCGAGTCTCGAAGATGCGATACGACGTGGCTGGCTCGTTTGTTGGCAGACCACACGAGGTATGACCACCGAGAAGCATGCGAATCGATTGATGTCCCCGTCTTGGTTTTGGCGGGGAAAAGGACTGGCTGCTTTCCTCTAGACGGAATGAGGGAGACGATTCGAAGAGTAGAGAAAGGCAGGAAAGAAAGAGGTGTTGCGGAAGGCATTGCCAAGTGGTCAGAGTATGAAAGTGGGCATTGGTTGTTCTGGGAGGACCCGGACCGCTTCAATGCGGAAATTTCTGACTTTGTGGCAGAATGTGATAATTTTTCCCGAGCATAACGTCGTCACATTGAAAGTTTGGATAAAACTTGCTGTCTTTTGCCATTGGATCACGCATATCTGCCATAGTGCTCTGTACTTGTAGATGGGACGGAAATCCCACCACGATGCACGCAATATTTACTGATGGAATCGGAAAAATCCATTGTACCGTACGAACTCAGTCAGGCAGTATGTTCTCGACGACTCGAAAATGTATTTACGTCTATAACGCCCTGAACACACTCAAAGTTTCGAGTACCGGAAATCATAAGTACTTGATGGACTACTAGCTATGACTGCTAGAAATATCTCCGGCTACGTACCGCCTATGGACCAGATCTTGGCACCGCCCATCCACATAGTTGATGTAGGATTGTGTAAATCATTGTTGCAAATCCGTTCCCGCGACAATGGGTGGAGATTTTGTGCTGTGTGTGTTTTGATGCTGATGTGTGTCTTCTGATATGTGTTCTCTGTCAGTAGCTGGCTGCGAGATGTCGTCATCGTGATAGGTCATTCCAATCTTCCCTGCCTGGCGATCTCGTCTCTCGAGAAACGTGATTAGACCGATAAACGGAATCACGAGCGAGCCAGTTACCAAGCTCGCTATATAACCCCTCTCATAATTTGGCGCATCAGTAACGGGATAAAATATAAGAGGCCACCAAGTAACAAATGCAAAATCGAATGAGTTCATGAAGCCTGTTGTGATAGCTCGGAGTTGAATATCATGCGCCGTGACATCCGCCATCCTGATTGTTCATGGACCACGTTAGCCGCCTTGTGCAACGATAGCTTCTGGGCCAGGAGGTGTCTTCAAAAGGATAGTGAACAGCAAGTTTGATGACATACCAAGAGTACCACAATGCTTGAGGAGCATAGGTGGTTCCAAGAAGGTAATATGCGAAGAAATGAGCGGCATCTTGTGCTGGGTCTGCCACAAGGATGGCGCTGCCAATAATAAAGGTCACACCGATTGCGATTGAAGGCTGCCACCGTGAATTGATCTTATCAGAAATGACAGAATAGACGATAGTGCCTACGATAGCAGTGGCATATATAGCCGTAGGATAAGTGTTCTGCTGGATGACGGTATAGCCGCGAGAGGCCATCCACAGTGGCATTACATTATTCCCCAGGCTCTGGACACACAGGCTATAGACTGCAAAGTCAAATGTCAGCAGAATCAAGTTGATTGGACTGCATGTGAACTCACGCATGAAAATAAATGGAAGCAACCAGAATTGCCAGCTCAGAAGAACACGGCGAAACACTGTCAGGTCCCATTGCTGTCTTTTGAATTGCCCGAGACGAGTGACGGCAATTTCTTTCTCTTCTGGAGACAGATACCAAGCGCTTCTATGAGAAGGGAGGTCTGGAATGATGAACCAGCCTGCAGGACGAATTAGCTTGGAGATGGCATGTAACTGGCCTGATAAGAGTATATACCCAAGGCTGCGACTGGTATTGTCATTAGAGAAACGATGATAAAGACCCAGCGCCAGGCAGGAAGCCCATTTTTACCGTCGAGTGACTCAATGAGACCAGCCTGAATCCACCCGCCTGCAATGGAACCCAAATGACCGAAGCAGCAAAAGACAGCTGCTCTTGTGCTCAGTTCTGATCGCTTGTACCATGAGCCATAGATGAAATGAGCACCAACGCTGCGTAATGTCAACTTCCCGGTGTCTCTCAGTGACCATCGTTCTTACTCACTAGGCAATAGCCGAAAAAGCCCCCTCAAACCCATTCAAGATGAAAAGCTGGTAGACGTGTTGCATAGCAAACGTGACCATTGTCAAGACGCTCCAGCCAACGTTTGCAAAAACAAAGACATACTTTGGTCGTGCCAGGGTGAGAAGCGAAGTTGAGGGAATCTGGAAGATAGCATAAAAGACGAGATAAATTGTGCTCATATAATTGAAATCTGCAAAGTCAGATGCTGAGAAGCGACAGGCTGATTTGAAAGCCGATACTGACCTTTTCCTTGAAAGTTCAAATCCTCCTTCATACCACTAATGTATGCATGGCTATAACTGGCACGATTCACGCCAAAGAGAAACCAGATCAGGGAGAAATACGGCAGAATAGTGCTGTCAAGTTTGATAACCAGGGCTCTCTCCACGGAGGAAGGACCCCAGAGAACTGTCTTTATTTTGGAGATTGGCGACATGAATGCAGCGAAGAAGCTTTTCGGTCGCTCTTCGAGTCGCTCGTATGGAGAAGGCATGTTGAATGTTCATTTGCTGCCCAGCGCAGTGTTTATGTTCAGATAAGAAGAGGTGGGAGAGTTGATGTCGAGATAGTGGAGCCTCACTTGCGGCATCTACGGTGAACTCTATTGGGCCACGCCCAAGTCGGAGTCTAGGTATCGGGTAAGCACACGACATGGCGTGCAGGTTTGGCCGGGGTGAGTGTAGCAACAGTCTGATCCGGCTTACAACTTGAAAGGGGAGAAAATAAAAAATACCAGCAATCCCTTTCTTGGTACTGGACAATTGAACTTCACATGCTTTTGATGTTTTGATGGAGCTATAATGCAACCTATGTCTCTGTTCGCTGGACAGATTCGGCTTATGGAGACTGGCGCAGCACTGAGCGGGAGCATTTCGGAATATATGTACTTAGCCAGGCTATTGACCATAACACGGACTGTTGCAAAAAGTCATACAAAAAAAAAAAAAAGAACTGTCATCATGGCTCAGCAAGGCTGTTTGCATTTTCAAATGTTTCGTTCTCGATGCTTCGGTGATGCCTTCTGCTAGTATAGAGCGCATATTTGCACTAGGTTGGCGATAAGTATCATGTTGATCGTGTTGATCAAGTTTCAAGAACACCAACCAGCCAGGCCCACGAACGCGAAAGCATGGCCCAATGTTTTGGTGCGTGAGCCTTGGCGGCAAATCACGAGCGCATCTGTCAGCCATGCGAGCGAGCAGATACCGGTTAAGATTTGTTTTTATCCCAAGGTTGAAAAGTGGTAGATCTGAGGCCAAAGCTCGATTCGGAGGTGGCTTTGATATATATGTCGGCGAGACTGCCCAGCCTGCATACCACCAGGTGGTTTTTAATACTTGATGCTTCGTCCATGTTTGGTCATAAGCAACTACTGCAATCCAGCCTGATGCTCAAGTAGCCGGCAACAGAAGATATGAGAGGCGAGGACATTGCTGCGCGCAGAAACCGGGGCAACACTGACAGACTCCATACTTGGTGCGAATTATACCTGACTGTCGAGTTCGGGTCTCCTATTAGTTTGAAAATCTGGGTCGATGTGTCAAGTATTGATCTATCAATATTGTGCCCAGCGCGCGGATTATTCGTTCCCAAGTTCCTTGCATTACTCATCGGCGAATAACAGGTCGGCAGTAACACAGAAATTTTGATTATTTCCGCGCATCCGTACCGGTCTGCCGCGACGCCGCGTAGGTGTTACGCCAGTGGCCGGTGCACAAGTAGCTCGTATTATAGGACTAAGTAGACGATGGATTGGCGGTACGTTGCGCACTAAAGAATGCAAGTTGCCGAGGCTCAAATACTCGACTAACCTTAGACAACTTGGATACTGTAACGTTTCACTAGCAAATAGATGGTTCTACAACTTGAGCCTTTCTTTTATCGTGCTCCCATTATTCGTATCTTGCCAGGCGCCGCGGCAGCGGTGAGATAGCGATACCTTTTCGCCACTGGCATCATCGCACACCAAAATTTAAACTGCTCGATGCTTCATATTTGAGACGACTTTTCAGCCGACACGAGTCGGGTGCTTTGGTTCTATCAACTGTTTCTTTACACTGATACAAGCTTTACAGTAGATCTGTATAAGCATGATTGGATAGCTTGGCAAAGGGTGCTCACTGATGGTTTTGCTACGGGAGTGCATGGTTTCGGGTGAGCTTAAATAGAAAACGATGGTGTGTGTTGTGTTCAAGGCGACTTTACACAGTAGATGGGGATTTATCTGGGTGCCCAGCTGCCCCAGGACAGCGTCTCGCTGGTCTGCGATGGGGCCGTAGTTAAAGTTTGGGGCTCCTCCTGGTCTCCGTACTTAGGTGCCTGCAAAGCCAGAGCCCCGGTTGTTACCGTCGGTAGCTACCGAGGAGAAATCCCTTGGGTATCCGCAATCAATGGCGTGCTCGAGTCTCATCTCATCTAGAATTTAACGATGAGGTAAAAGTTTTGTCGTGTGGAGCGTTAGCATACGACAACACAGTTTGAGCAATAAGTTATGCTATCCTAGATGGCCACAACATGGCAGAACGAAAAGGAAGCTGGCTCCCTTCATGGACACCGCCGTCCAAGCGTTTGGTATCGAAACCAGCCACCTAGATGAGATCACTAAAATCTAGCATCCCCCCCTCCCCCCGATTAAGGACAGCCAATAATTCCTGTGAGGAAGCCACGAAAAGAAAGACAAAATGCTTAAACTCTTGTTTCCCAGGACTTTTCATCAGTGCTGCCTCTACTAAAATAGCATGCTATCGAACATCGGGAGCTTTCAAAACTCATGATTCGCCTGTAGCAAACGGACCGATTCGATCGACTACTGTGTAGTAGTGAAAAGCTCGCGCCCCTTTCTGCTGCCCACTGTCTGTGTGCCATCCGTTGATCCCATCGCCTGGGGTAGTTTGGTAAGTGGAATGAATGTACATGCTAATGGGCCAATGTGTGTACGTACTGTAGTGTCTTTAGCAGTCGTAAGTGCCGGATGTCTATGCCTATAGTGGCTATGTATCCGACAACTGACGGCGATCTGCAGCGAATGTTGAACTGAATCAAACAAAGTGCTAACAAATTGCTACCAGTGTAAACGAACGACAAGTAAGGCGGTAAACCAGCTTTAACGAGAAGGCATAGCTTGCATAATACTTGACGTCTTTCAGCTTCAACAGTGGATTGACCTGGATGGGCGAGTCGTCTCAGAGACGCCATCTCGTAAGTTACAGTTTAACTTTGATACGATCGAGTTGACACAAAGTATTCTGTACCAGTGTCCCAAGACAAGCAAAACCCCAGAATAACGAGCCTTTCAGGGCACACTTCCATACTAGTGTAGGATCATGATGGCAGTTATGGTAGGTTGCAGAGCACGAATATGATCCGATTGGCAACCGCATGGTCACTTGCTTTGTTTGGCTGCACCCCAGAATTTGCCTACTCAAGGATCCTCGATCTGCACCGACCTCCCTACTCAGGCATGTCACAAGTATGGCTCGACCATAGTCTCGGGCGCTAATAAACTTTTCCTGGTGGCATCAGGCCAACGTTGCGGCGCCGTTCAAGCTTTACGGATGCGCGGGTGTCAGATGATCCCTGCTGGATCTGCCAGCTATTTACTGTGTTTCTACCGTGTCCTTCTTATTGGCACTGCTGTGCGCATATGCGGGCGTACGTAGTAGGTGCTACACAACAACCGAAATTTGCACGACTCGTCATGCGCTGACTTTGTGGACTACTTACCAGGTAGCCGCTCTTCGAATCCACGAATGGAGAAATGGTTATGGATCATGCAAAAGCTGCCCCAGCTAACAAAACGAGTTACCGCATCTGTAATCCAGGTCCAGGGTCTCTCTCGATCGCCGCCCATACCTAGCCAGACGTATAATCCACTGCACTTACATCGTAGTCCGCATAATAAAACTGTCTTTCGACCCATACTACCTCGGCGTGGTCCTTCCACCTTTTTTCCCTTACAACCTTTTGGCTAATGTGTCACTGATTTGTCAAGATGGGTAAGTCATTCACCATGAATTCGTCAAGTTGAAAAAGCAAAAAAAAAAAAAAAAAAAAAAAAAAACCTACGGAGAGTCCAGGCTAACATGAAAGGCAGCAATCCACAATGACACCTCGAGCAATGAGTTCCCAGACCAGGAGAAAGCTGGCGGTGAAGACCATACTCCCTATTTAGCTGCCAACATAGAGGAGGATTATGAAGGAAAACCTACGGCGGAGGAACTCCGGACACTGCGCCGTGTCCCTACGAACATTCCGATCATCGCCTACCTCATCTGTATTGTCGAGTTCTCAGAGCGGGCCTCATACTATGGCGTCCAGCCACTAATAAGTAATTTTGTTAACCGCCCTATGCCTACTGGAGGCAATGGCTGGGTAAGTGATGTGTTCCTAGGTGCTTGCCTTGCATACCTGTGTGGTATCTTAGATATAGTACTTTACGATTACTTGGCTCTTAAGGGTACTATTTTTGGTATGATGGAAACTCGCTCTGACTTTTTCACAGGGTGCACCTCCAGCTGGTACTCAACAAACAGCTGGTGCCTTGGGCATGGGTACTCAAGTTGCGAATGCTATCGGACAGTCTTTCAGCGTCATTGCTTAGTAAGTATTGCCGTTGTGATTCAAACTGGCTCTCATGACAATGAAGCCGAGGCGGAGAACGGGGAGAATAGACAACATCGCTCGCCTCGCTACAAGCAATGCTTTCCTTTCTAGTCTGGTAATGACTAACTTGCTGCGACACAGTGCTTCACCACTCATCTTTGGCTACATTGCGGACGTCAAGACGGGCCGGTTCAAGATGATTTCATGGGGCGTTCTCGTCTTTGGCATTGCCCATGTACTCATGTGTGCTGCTGGCGCTCCCGATCTTTTGGCCAATGGAAATGCCAAGATTCCTTACTTCATCTCTATCTATATCTTGGCAATTGGTGCTGGTAAGTCAAACCTTCATTTCCTGTACAGAGAGAACGGTTGATCAAGATGCTGAAAACCGCCATAGCCATGTTCAAGCCCTGTGTTTCGCCCTTGCTACTGGATCAAATGACAATAACCGTCCCTAAAGTCATCACCACGAAGAAGGGCGAGCGTGTGATCCAAGACCCAGAGTCTGGTACCGAGAGAGTTATGTTGTGGTTCTACCTGGTGATTAACATTGGTGGATTCATGAACGTAGCCACGGCCTACATTGAAAAATATGTAGGGTGGTGGCTAGCATTTCTCGTGCCCCTATTCCTTTACCTACCATTGCCTTTCCTCCTCATGTTTCTCAAGAAGCGATTAATCCTTCACCCACCGGCTGGTAGTGACCTTGGCAAGATTATCAGGATCATTGGTATCTGCGTAAAGGGGGCGGGCATCAAGGGATTCGGCCGCAAGGGTTTCTGGGAATCTGCGAAACCATCAGTGATCCGTGCAAAGGGCCTGAACGTTCAAACTGATTGGAACGACGAGTTCGTGGAAGATGTCCGCCGTACATTCCAGGCCACTGGAATCTTTTGCTTTTTCCCAATTCAATACCTCAACGACAATGGCATTGGATCGGCCGCCAGTTTCTTATCCACCATGCTGACAACCAATGGTGTGCCGTAAGTCCAACCATCACTATTCATCCCAAAGTTCCCTCTTGAATTCTACCCGCTGAAACAAAAAAGCTAACCTTACAATAGTAATGATGTGATCAGCAACTTTAACACGCTTAGCATTATCTGCGTTGCCCCGATCTTGAACTATGGCCTGTATCCCTTTCTACGCAAGGCTGGCATTCATTACGGTCCCATTGCCCGTATTACCACAGGATTGGCATTGTCTTCGATTGGTGGTGCTGCATATACCGTTCTCAACTATTATGCATACAAGCTGTCACCCTGTGGCGAATATGGTTCCAGCGACTGTACCATTGGCGACGGCGTGGCTCCGATCAGTATATGGTAGGTCGTTTTCTTTCTTTCTTCCTTTAATTTTTGTTTTTGGGGTTGTTTCGGTTGCAAATCGTCTGCTTATCAGTAATGTTCATTGTAATGGGTATTCAAACTAATAACTGGCATACAGGTGGATGGCAATTCCATTCGCGATAGGTGGTATCTCGGAGCTGTTTGTCAACGTTCCAGCCTATGGTATTGCCTACTCTCGGGCTCCTGTGAACATGAGGGGTCTGGTCTCCGCCATAAACCTCTTCACGACCGCTGTGGCATACATCATTGGACTGGCCTGCTCTGCTGTCATCACCGACCCTTACCTGACATGGGACTTTGGCGGCCCCGCCATCGTTGGTGGTGTCTTGACGATTATTTTCTACTTCATGTTCAAGCATATCGACGCCGAGGAGTTCCAACTTAGCCAAAAGAACGACAACACAGACTATCATCTAGAGATGGAGGGTACTGTCAATGTGGTTGGGGAAAATGAACTGAACAAGACGACAAACCACACGGCACCTATCAACAACAATGAGGAAATGCTCATCTCAGCCAAGCAGTAGTGACACTCAGATATGGCACTGGTACTGCTTCAAAGAGGGGGGAAACGAAGGGGGAAACCATTCCAGAATAATCTGGGAACCAGAAGATGGTCTTCTTATCCATTTCTCTTCCTGCTGGAGCAATATCTCCTTATGAAGTATGTGACGAAAGTGGTTGTGCACCCAAAGATAGTCATTCCAGCACTATGTGAGAAAATGGGAACTCACGAAGCCAATCTAAACGCATTGTGTCTCTACCCCTATTGTAACTAGCTCCATCTTTCTGTGTACATAATCCTTACAGTGAGGCTACGTATGGAGATATTAGACGTCGAGGTCTTCTCATGGCTAGCAACTCCTCGATTGTTGCCTCTAAGCACTCAATCGCGCTCGTCTTTCTGTATATTCGAACATTGTGTCTTGTCCATGATTTGGCCCGAACAATTAAATATCTTGCTAGATGAGCAGTGCCATAATTTCAACTATCTACGTTTATAATCACGTGGCCATAGTTGTAAAAGAACACTGATCCCATAGTCTCATCACGCCCACAAAGAATATTGATTCTAACATCACCGAGGTTAATCCATATATGCCATTAATGTCCAGACCAAGTTGGTAACTTGTCATTCGTCTTAAGGCTGCTATTAGTGATGCATATATCATTCCGAAGCAGAGATGAGAAATCATTCCTGCGCCCATGAAGTCAACAAAGGTACTTTTCAATTTTTTGTAGGAAGCATCACGACGCTATATTGATTTATGGAGCTGATTGTCTGAGATTTACGGATTCTTCCGGTTCATTCGATCAGGGCCCTCGTATATCAGGAATGAATGTGATTGCAGATGCTGTTGAGTACATAGTCATGCGAGTCCACGTGCGCCTCCGCACTCAAGAAAGCGTAGCGGCATCACTTGCTGATGGATTGACAAGTCCGGAGAAACGAATCCTTATCAAGTAGGCTCTCCTCCGGCTACAGTATATGATTGATTTCTTTCTTTCCTTGTTTTTGTTTTGTTATGATCCCTTTTCGTCCTCAAGTATTCTGTTCTCTCGTGCACCGAGTAGTTTAACGGGTGGCGATAATATGGATAGGTAGCCTCGATGCATCCAGCGAGGTCCCGCAAAGATGCAACTTGGCTGTCTCTGGCCCGTCTGGCCACTTTCCTTCGCATGCACTATGTACCCCATGTTCCATATCCCAACGCACTTCTCGACTCGGCGGGCTTGTCGAATCAGTGGTGCCGAGGCACCTGAATGATTATGCGCATCTAGGGAATCGCAGCCTTCCAACTGCCATGCCGTTATAGAGTTGCAAACAGACATTCCCCCCATGGCCCAGCCAAACAAGGCCATACATGTGTGTAATGCTGCATTGCTGAGGAAAATGGCCCGTAAACCGGCACACATATCAAGCCAAAGGTCGCCCGTCTGTTCGAGCTGGATTTTTGTCGCCTCCTTGAAAATAATTGGGAGGAAAAACCAAAGATTGAGTACGGAGACATTGATCCACATAGCCGAAGATATAAGAAATGCCGTGGCATATATGACGCACGTTCTTTGCGTAACGAGTAGAAAAGCTGAAATCGTGTGCAAGACAACCACCACACAGCAAGTGTAGTATACTGCGTTATCGTATGAATCCATGATGAGTGCAATCTAGTAAGTGTGTGTGTGATGGTATCAGACGAGATTGCTCGAGTAACAATGGTATATCTCGTCCAGCCTTGCTTGGCCCTGCTGGAACGAGAACGTAGGGTGGTCTCTTCTTCATATAGTGAACTAGCCAGAGTGAGGAAGAAACACGTTACGCATCTTTGAGATTGCGCGGACTTTGGTTTGGGATGTTTGAGACGTGCTGATCACGAGACACAAAGCCAATAGTATGAACGCTATGCACGGCAAAGGTTCACTGTTTTGGTCTTAGTGGAGGAGGCAGAGCCTGAAACAGGCCCGCTCGCGCCGCTTGAGGCAAGGGCACAGTTTCCTTACATGCTTTTATATATGGCAGATGCGCCACCCGTTTCCATCAAAGATTTCTCGAGAAACATTCATGGTATTACTTCCAATGAATGTGATTATGTAAAGCATGAGCAGGGTCTTAGCCGCTTGTAAAGGTATATTCGTACGTGACCTCTCCCCTGGCAGAATAAAGCGCCGGAGCTGAACGATTGGCTCAGCCTGTATGAAATATAGGCTCACACGATCGAAAACCATCGAGCATTGGATTTTGCTTGATAGAAATGATGATCAACTAAAGAGTTTGGTGTTGCATCTTTCCCTCCCAATATTGAGCCTTGATACTGATGAAGTCTTGCTTTGACCAGTCGCAGCACAGTCGAGCTCAAGGCCAATTGGCAGCAAGCTGCCGTACACAGAGTACTGCCTGCCACGCATAGCACATGCAGCAGCTACATATGTCCATGTGCACTTGGTACCTGTGGCTGAAGCCGACTTCTGGGAGTCCGACTACATTATGTTACAAGAACGCACCTAGGTAGATGTACGTCGCCGCCCAGTAATAGACCGTCTAGACTGTAGCAATTTGAACCAAAATATGAATTGATACTATTTTGGAACCCTGGAAATTGCCCTGATGATGAGAACAAGGTACAACATACCTTAATTTTTGGATGACTTCACGGTCAGGGATTCGGCAATGCCCTCCATTCAGTACCTCGATTCATTCATTGCTACTCCCTCATTTGAAGCAATTGATCGATCTATTGGAATGTTCCTTTCGCTTCAATGTTCTTCACTTTTTAGGTAGGTACTGATATAAACTGGGGTACCTGGGAACGTACCTTAATGTACTGTGACGTCTGACCTCAAGGCTTCAAATTCAATTAGGTATTCAATGTCCCGCTAAACCCCACATTCACCACTACACCTCCTCATGGATTATAAACGTTAGATCGTTACAAGCCCCGTAATTGAATCCAGCGATCTGCTGCGTACTCTGTCATAATATTTGTGCTGGCCAGTACTGGCTGTTACTGAGGTTCTTCGTCTGGTACCCACACCAGGTGCTAGAAATTTCTATGAGCCGTATAGCACCATAGAACAGATATGGGAAGATACCAGGCAGATCAAAGCAAAGAAATATGGGGCTTGTACCAATCTAACGTTTATAATCCATGAGGAGGTGTAATATGAGACCAGTCCCTCATTACCTAATCTCCAGAAGCTCGGATCGCAAAGCTGACATGGCTTTCTCTTCTGTCTTTCGCAAACACCAATGATCGAGCCTTGCCTTGGGCACGTCAGAGCCGCAAATCTTCAACAGCCTGTTGTTGCCCGTCGCCCTTCTGATCTCGCCGTTGTGCGAACGCTTTCTAACTCTTGCCCTGATCGAGGCAGATTATACAATCCTTATGGTCCATACTCATTAGTCCCCGATCTGGGACCCTGCTGGCTCAGTCGCTACCACATTACACAACAACACTGCCTCTGCCGCTGCAGAGCATCAATTGCATTCTGCTGCACTCGACGTCTGTGAGCCTTGCAGCATAATGGGAGCCTGCGCATCATGCTTAGGCCGAGGACGCCAGGATGCATACGACGAGGCACGTACTTCCCATGTTATTCCGTTGCTGGGATGTAGTATCTCTTTGCTTACCAAACTTCATCGCAGGAGGATGAATCACGATTACTTCTAGACGATCCAAGCAACTTCCAGTACGGCAGCTTCGGCGACCAAAACCCCAACACACACACGGATCCTCTTGAGTCGCAAAGAGAGTTGGAGGCACTACAGAAAGTTGTAGCTAAGACATCAAAGTACCGACGCAACCCAAGCGCGATGCCCACGGTCCTGTCCTGCTAACCATCTTGCAGTAATCTGGTCGATATCTTTGAGATTGCCCCGTCGCAACCCCAACATGCCCATGCTACCGCCCTCACCGGCCAAGACTCGCGCCTCAACCGCTATCAAACCATTCTTTCCAAGCTGTCTGCCGACGATGACACGAATGCAATCACAGCTCAGGGTCAAGTGGACTGGCTGAGTGACGATGACACGATGGAAACGCAAATGGACCCGCCTACAGTCAAAGCAGGTGAGCCGCTGGTGGGCACCTTTGCCGACGCGGTCACGGTAGCATGAGCACAGGTTGCAGTCCCATCATCATGTAGTGCGGACCGCCGTTCGATGGTGCCATAGGGTAACCTTGCTGAGCGAGCAGCGGTGAGACATCTGTTGCGTTGCTGCTAGGCTTGACGTCGTGACTGTAGCTGCTCTTGCCCTACCGATTGCAATCCTGTTTCTGCAGACATGTCGAGCTGCGACTTTGGGAGGGATCTATATATGTAAAAAGCCGAGGCCAGCTCTGACAAGGCCGCCAAGTCCTCTGGCACGGATACTGAATCAATCCTCGGTGCACATGTGCTACATACGCACACGAATAGCGAGCCACTGATTGGGCTGATTTCTTACTCTGTTCTTTGGGCACGGCCAATCATAGACCGACTTCGCATAATCTCTACTGTTTACATTGGCCCGTAGAGCTACAGCCACGTGCTCGTGACCTCTGGGGCCGCCGAGACAGAGGAGTTTCCTCTTGTTCATATAAAATAGACCCATAGTATAATCATTTCTTCTATATCCGATTGTAAACCTCTGCCTTTATCGATATAATTACCTTTTTGCTCCCTTGTTCTCCAGCTCGGTTTATGTTGTCGCTGTTATCGTTGTCTGAGGTTTCCGATTGTAGGTACCCATCAATGGGTATCATTTCCGAAGCCGACTGCCGGGCGCGGGTTTCCTTCAGTTTTCCAGAACACACAAAAAGGATGGCGAATGCCGGCGCTGCGAATGTATCCAAGCCTGTGCAGCACCGATCCATTTAACCATGTGCGCTACATACATTAGAATGTGCGGCCCGGCCCATCGCTCGTCCACTCAGACGGGCTTGACCGCTACACTGGGGTTTCCACTCACATGGTTATGGAGTATGGTGCGTGCCAACTAGTGGGATAGCCGAGAGAGCATATGTACTAAGCAGACGCTGCATTTTTTTTTTCCCTCTCGAATTGGACCCCATCTCCCCTCTCTCTTGCTCGCGTGTCTTCGTCATTGGAGGCGGACGTCCTCGCTGCATTGTCCAAAACAAGCTGCCACTGCCGCTGTGTCGGACCCCTTTGCCGCTCGTGATCTGAATATTTAGCCACTCCTATATGACGGACAAGGTGTCTGCGAACGGGACACTAGTTAGAGGTTGAGCGATTTCTCAGAAGGGGTGGTTTTTCCTTTTTTAGAAAAAATCGTGTGATTTTTCAGGTCTACGTGTCGAACGAGAGGCTATCACGTCTTTGCCGTAGGATGAAATGGCCAAGGTCCTCGAAGCATTGATCAATCATCAATTTAGAGACTCGCACGCTATCGAAGGAAGGATCAGAACCCTCGACCAAGAACCAATGTAGAAGGGAAGCGATAGAGAGAGGAGAGAGATACAGAGGAACGAGTTCCCCGAACACAATCTTACGAAACCCACTGGCTGATTCGATAATGTTGTGCCTTTTTTTTTTTTTTTTTTTTTCCCTTAATCTGTTCTTCGCACTTTTACTTCCTGCTCACTCGTCTCTCCTCACTTCTTTATTTTGGTACTCTCTTTCTCTCACACAATCTCTTTCTTGCTCTCTCACCGGTCCTTTCTTTCTCTCCCTCTTTTTGGATCGAATCATTCCCCCTTGCCCGATCCCTTACTCGAATACTCAAACACTAACAGAACGGGTCCCGCTGGTTACCGACAGTGCGACCCAGATCCCGATCATTTTTGCCACCTTTTGCGAGATCCGGCGTCATGTAGTCGAGTTCTGACGAGTCCAGTGCTGCTGCTGCATGCTATAGATTGCGCTCGCTGCCTCGGCCATATCCCTTTGCGCCTTCTCGATCGTTGCATTTCGATTGCCCTCCCGCTGCCATCGATGGATATCACCCTCGAGCTTGGTGTATTTTCGCTGCTTCTTTTCGATATCTTTGCAGAGTTTGCAAATATCTGGTTCATTGTTGGTTTGGTATATGAGCTTGAGACCGCATGTCTCCCCGGTCCGGTATTCTTTTGTACATTGCTCTCGAAAGTGGCCCCATCGCCAAAATCCGCATTGCCAACGAGTCTGGTCGAAGTAACACATTGATTCCTGAAAGGAGTTTGAACTGCACGAGTCGATGTATTAGTATGTTTCTGGCAAGTTGTGGTAGCTCGGGTGGCGCATTGCAATAACATACAGACGGTTGACGACCTTGCGCCCAGCGAGGCCCCTGACAGAGACGAGTCGGTGGTGTCCAATAGCTCTCTGACGTTTTGATCCAAGGAGGAAGAGCAATTTTCCTCGCGGTAAGCGTAAGAGAGATACAGTATCAACGTCAGATAGTACAATGAGTGCTCGACAAATAGTTCGAATCCAGTAAGAGTTGGAGCCGCGAAAAGTCTTATATACGCTTTGGGACTGTATTCCCCGATATGTTGGTGCGATTCCGAGTTGATATCCTCACGGACAGATAGAACTCTACATGCGTTGGCAAATGTTTCTCTACACTGCCGTTCCCATAGTTTCTACCCGACTCTTCCATAGTGCCCTCAAGGATTGGTGGAGCATCCACGCATCATGCCTCCTGAGTTGGGTTGCATAGCAAAGTGCTTGCAGAATCCCGCCCAACATCAAGTTCGGACGATGTATTGATGCCACGTCGGCAGAGGGGAAACTTGAACATCAACTGCTCGACCGTCCCCCACCTGTTGCTACTCCCTCAGTACATGGACTCACACAATTGAGCATCTTTGCAGCAGGTAGCCCCATGGCCCCCCTGCTCCTGATGCAAACTTCCCATTGGCTTGTCGCTCATGTTCGACCGACAGTGTTCCTGTACGTAACCTGCACATCCAAATTTGACCTGGAGACCCCTACGCCCGCGTGCTGCCGTCTGCACGCAGCTTTGATCGTTCCGCGTCTGCGGCCAAGGGACGAGGCCTGGTGCCATCTCCATATGTAGTCCCACAGCCCAGCAGCCAATGCCCGGAGGTGGCTAGTGGCGGTTGTCAACCCTACTGCTATTTCTACTGTCATTCATCAGGCACCACAACTTGTCGTAGGTCTGGCATGAAGAATAAATCACGGGGTCTGGCGTTGAGACTTTGTTGCACTACATGAACCTGCATTGCCTCTACTTCCTACTTAGTCAACCCCCCGCATACGCTACTATCTGCAAGTCAGGGACCAGTCTTTGGCTGGGGATCACGCCTCTTAAACACCTCCTAAGACACCATTTGTCCATGAAGAACTATATGGCATTCGACAAGGTAGGCCGGTGCCATGCCTTTTCCAAGCCAGCCAAATACATACAATAAAAGCCCCTACCGTATTTATGCACCAGGTAAAGCCTTGCTTGGAGACAAAACGTGCAACACTTTGAGACAGACTTGATGACATGGCTTGGCTGCGCAACCAAGTTGTTGACTTACCCTTTAACAACAACTACTCTAATACATATAATCAGATATACGTATATACGTATAATACACATGGTGACTAGAGAACTATTGTGCGTTGAGCCAGGGTTATGTGCCATCGCAGAAAGACAACAGGCGACAGAGCTGCCTGACTGGAACGAAACAAACTGGGCCAGCCACGGTCTCTGGCTCAATCTGGGCAAGAGGTAAACGAGGAATTGGAGTGATACCGCAGTACATCGCAGGCATATCCACGCCCGGAAAGTCAATCTGGGTGGAATGAATCTCGGCTAGAAGGGATAGGAAGGCCAAGGATCTTCACTGGGGGGTACTTTGTTGTAACAACGTGGCGAAGGCCCCTTGGGTCCCGGCCAGGCCCACTGCCACGCTCTGATGCCGAGAGTTGTGAGAATTTTGATTTCAAGAAGCCGATCTGATGTACTCATCCTTGGTGGCTCGATTTCGTCATTCTAATGTACGTTATAGACTCGGCTATGTATCCCCTTCGCTGTTATCGATGAACTGCCATACCGCCGAACGGGCACCTAGGGCTGTTCTTTGTTTTGTTTTTCTTCCAAAACATAGCCTAGTTCATGATCAAGAGAAAGACTTCCTTCTATTTGTTGACATGTATGAAAGACTGGTAAGTTAAGGGAAAGGAAAACTCCAAGCAAATATGGCAGATCCCTGTATCAAAGGTCTATTTTATTCGGCCCAACACACTTGAAGTCCTGATTATGATATAAGAAAAGTTAGAGCCTCCGCGAAACCACTGCGTCATGCCGTGATATTCTTGGTCCCTAAATCGCCTATGCAACTGGCGGCTTTGTGCATTTACAATGCTTTAGTGGTCGGATGGACCTGACATCCTAGGCTAGCAACCTCCTATTGAACTTTCGGAACAGTCTTGTTTTGGGCAGGTAGGGCTGAGCATCGCCCTTCCTTTTTTTTTTTTTTTCTTGATCTTCTCCCATTTCCTCTATCTGAAGCCCAGATTATGATTATATCTCAGCATTTTCCCAGTCAAGACATGAAGAAAATGCTGTTATGGTCGAAAGAAATGAGAAAGCCAGTATTCCCAGTAGTATCGTACTGGCTCTGTTGAGCAGGACATTGTGCACATCGCAACAGTCTAGACAAGACCGCCGTCTGCGCAAGCACTTGACGAGAATCGCATTGTATGACTCTTTATTTAAATGCAGACGCACAATTGCAGTGTTGCTGGCGACCGGATCATCCCGTACATTTCTATAATAATTACTCGCAACAGGAAAACTGCAACCCAATTTTCTCGTGATGATGCATTTCATGTTCAACAACTCGTGCATCTCTCCATGCAGTACCATGGGGTAGTAGCTCCTTTCCACTCATAACCTCATCATACTAGTTGCATGGATAGAGAGCACAACAGTCTGGCATTTACTCCCGACCCACACAAGCCAGGTTGTCATGTGTCACGACAAATTTTGCCGGTCCAGTAATTGGTTTGCTTCAGGATTTTGTATTTACGGCTCAATTTCCTTTACCTACACATTTTGTATGTGTGCTGTTGAATTTCCATAGCCGCTGGAATGCAGTATCGAGACAAACATTCGGCTGGCCATCACAAATCGCAGTCGAGCCTCACTTGTGAGGACATTGCTATTGAGACAGGTGTTTTCTCGGGCAAGTCTGTACCTGTCTCATCTAGAGCCTCTCAAGGCATCCATTGACAACTTCATTGGCCACCCATCATGAAAACGTAGACGCGGCTAGAGCGGGACGTGCCTGTAGGCAGGCTGTGGCCCTGTAAGCGACCATCACAGCAACCATGGCACCCTTGGTACGTTGCTTTCGTGGGAACTATGCGCCGGACGACAACAACCGTTATCCTGAAAGATGTTGATCCCTCAGGTTTTAGAGATATCATTGGCAAATCGTATCTTTCACTGACCTTTGGCTTCCTGTCAAACACTGAGCCCCCATGCGGGCCCCCCATCTTCAAAGCTTGACATCATTCGTCATAGCAGACTTTGGCAAGGCTTGTGTCGAGTCGGAAATGCAGAAGCAGGACTCCGCTCCCACCTTGCAGGCTTTGCAGCTTTCCTCCAAGTATGTGACCTAAAGAAGTAGATACATCTTGGCCCATCCTTCCAGGGTCCTATGAACTGTCAAGCTGGCATGCCGCATCCACACCCGCTGCCATCGCCATTGTGATTGGGACGGGGACCGACCGGAAGGCTTATTATAATCTAGCTGCCACGACACTGATGTCAATCAGCCCTTGCTCCACACCGAATACTGTGCAGTATTGGAGTGAGGAGTACCTAGCCGTGCTCACCACTTATCAGTGAGCCACATGCCGGGCATGGTATTATTCCCCATTGCAAGACACTATGCAGGACCATCATCCACTCCAACCGACCCAACGACTATGAATATCTTTGTACTTGAGCCGCAGGGCCATCAGGACTCGATTGGAGCCCAATTTCTTGCCGAGAGCTGGTGTTCATTAGGCCTCGATGCAAACGGGCAATCAAGATGGGAGTAGTGCTGCAATTGCTTGACCTGTTACGACGACCTTATCAGGCCCAAGGCGGCCGGCCGGGGGACCCGGCTTGCAGTGCACAATAGACAGGGAGACTTCTAATGCAATACATACATTAATCTGCGGCTTTGAGCCGCGAATAGACGAACGCAGCGCGGGATACATACTCATTCTGCTGCTGCTACTGCCGCTTCTACTTCTGCTTCTGCCGCCGCCGCCGCCGCCGCCTACCTGTCAGGTACATGTAACCACTGCACAGAAACGAGTATTGACAGGTCACAATTTGGCACCTTGGACGACAACAACAGTCCCACGGCAAGGCTGAGGAAATGGACTCTTTCTTTGGCAAATAAAACGACAGCCTGGTTAGTTAGCGTGACGAGCCAGGATCCAAGGCCAGAACAGGGTCCCTTGATTGATATCTTCATCAGACAGCTGGTAGAGCTCCGAGTTGGCTGAACCCACAGAAAGTGAACCATATACAGACCCGGACGGATGCGCTAACCATGCCTGGTTAGCTTTTCTGTACTCATCATACTACCTGACCTCTCAGAGTCAGGTCAGATGTCTCAATCATACCAGCATATCCACGTCTAGAGTGGTACCAGTATAGGACAATGGGTACTTACCTGGACTTGGTACTGTATGCCAATATTCAAGGAACTTCCTGAAGCAGACAGAAAGAATCCCAGAACACCCGCAATCGTTTTTTGAATAAGCGGGGGAAATTCTTATAAAAATTATAATTGACGTGGCCGGCATTCCATAGGCTTAGGCGATGGCAAGTCAATAGACCATTGCATGGTCACACTTTCGAGACGCGACTCGTCACAGGATTTTCCGCCTTTGATCTCTCCCAGCCTGAGCTACTTGTCAGACCGCGAGGTTACCTGGTATTCATATATGGGTAAGAGAATATCTTGTTCGGGATTTTTCTCGTAGTTTACAATTTACAATGACGACAATTTAGTGCACGCGTAGGAATTGCAGGCATTCCATACAAATTGATAGCACTACGCGATTTCCGATCATTCACTGTTTTCTCTGATTATTTCTTGTTTTTTTTTTCCTTTCTTTCTTGTCGCCGCCGCCGTCGTCATCATCATCATCATCACGCGAGCATGGCATGGCATACTCTGTACTCAACAAGCGGTCGTCACAGAAGGGCAAATGAGCCGTGATCCCTTAAGAGGTTAGGTACATTCAGTAGTTCAATTCGTCAGCATGTTTATGCCCCGCGAATTACGTGCAGTCGAAAAGTAGGCAGATTACTAGGTAGGTAGGTAGGTAGGTAGGTATTTTAGTACGTACATTTCAATGTTGCTGTGCTGCTTTTGCAAGGTACTTATAAGCAACCAATTCTCAAAACCAACGAGATACAGACGCGCATCCCTGTCACGTCTTGTCACGCACTGTCGGTCTCAAGTTTCAACCATGACCACCATTCCCTCCTCGGTCCCTGGTTTCCCTTCTGCCCCGTGCTCAGCTTCAATCTATACATCTGACCTATTTATTAGTAGACGGCCATAGTTTCAAATCACACGCGACTCCTTTCCATCGTCGCAGATTTTCGCCTTTATTTGCTGGAATTGACAAAGCTGACACCACTTACCAGTTGTTGCCTGGGCCTGCCAAATTTCTGGAGCGCGACCCCGTCACATCTGAACTTGGATGTGCTAGGAGACAACACTCCCGGCGCGCTTTACTTGCTCAAGCAGTCGGATCCTACATCAAGGCACTCAGACCCTAGTTCAAGGCCGCTCGCCCGCTCGCCTTATTCAGATGTGATTGAGCAAACCTCATCATTACCAACCTCGCGCCATGATCAGAGGGGAGGGGAAGCTGCAGTACCCCACGACGGTCTATTGGAGCCTGACCGCCTGAACGACCTTTTATTTTGTATCTTTTTGTTTATTTCTCTTGAACTCTCTCCCACGAGGCAACACATCATCTCTCTGAACCAGCTGGCAGTTTCGGAGCTACTTCCGAGCGTGTACATCACATCCACCGGAACATCTCAATTGCACTTACCCTTGCGACAACGAGATCTACCTCGAGCTACTCGTTTCCGAAATCGTAGGGAATCATCCCGTGCTACAGACAGGAAAAACGCTAAACTGGGAACACCCGGCAGTACAAAAACATATTCGTGTTGTCCCTTGAAGGCTCTGTATTGTGGGCTCCATCCCCGCCGTGGTACCTTGCCTTGCCTTGCCTGTGCCGTTACTAGCTTTGACATATCACCAATACCACCTTAGCATCTAAATATGCCACAAGCTATGGTAGGCACTTTGCCGGCCGTAGAGGCGCTGTCATATCGAGACGGGGATCCGGACCAGGATCAGCATGACCATAAACAGGCATTGCCCGGACAGAGTCTCAGCCTGACCTCGGTGATGCCAACGGGTTCTATCACGTCCCAAGTATTGCAAGTAACGTCATTACCTACCTCTAGCTCTCCTTGTCCTGCCCGTCTCCCATCTGGATCATCAACTTCGACATTGCAGGGCTTTGACCCATATACACGTCACGGGAAGGAGATGCCGGCTGGGCCGGTCAGCGCCCAATGCCTTCCCGTAGCCAGATCTCCTTCGCCTCCACCAGAGTACCAAGACGGAAACAACGATGTGAGGCGTGGAAGCTCTGCAGACGTGAACGGATCCAACTCCACTGACATTCACCTGAGAGAGAACGGAACCATATCGGTCGACGGGACTACCTGGAGAGCTTTCCCATCTACCGCACAACTTACCGATGAGACTCTTCGTGGCTTCACACCGCTAGCTACGCCCGCCGGCTTGCATCTGGACAGACGAGAATGGGAACCAGTAACAGACGTGACCCATGCAGCAATGGTACAACGAGTAATACGCCCCGTAAGAGTGAATCAATGGTGTGGCGGGACTTACACTACAGTGCCAAACTTGGATCGTTTGCCAAACGAGATACTCATGCACATTTTCAGTTGTCTTGATGTATCCGATTTGTTGACCACATCGAGGGTATGTTGGCTCTTTACTCTTCCTCTCGTGATGTATCATCTAACGACAAACCATTCTCCTGCATCCGCTGCAATGCATATTTTGATCCATACGCCATATCCTTTCCTACTTTACGTCTTTTGTGCTTTATTCCGTATCATTGTTGCCAGATACTTCGTCCCAACCTGTCTCTAACCCTTTGAATTCATGATTTATGGTGTATCTGGCCTGAGAAGGTGTTATTCCTGCACACATGGCTTGTAAAGCCGGACACCACCATTGACTCCATCCCATCCACATCATTGTGTTGCTGACCTTCATCCCAGATCAATCATCACCTTCGCAGTATTTCTCTGCTTCCAATCCTCCACCACCATCGGCTTGAACGTGCTCGCTTTTCTCTCCCTGCTCTGCTGGCGTCGCCGTCGCGACCATCACTGTCGGAGCTCATTGCGAGGCACATCTTCTTGACCCATACAACCCAGGTTTCGCGCAAGTTGGCTCGCAGTCTGGTTGCCATTCGGTTGTCCCGCCGGCTTCCTTTGCGGCCTTCAGCTGAGGCTCTTGTACAGCGAGGCGTCTTACCTGGCGAATGCGTAGAGGGTCTTGTAGCTCCTGGACTCGTGGCTACAAAACGTGCAGTAGAAAGAGAGAGGCTAAAAGACGGCCTACGAAGCTGGGTGGGTGCAGTATGGAGAGGCAAAGTATGGGAGAGAGGCGACCTGGTGAGGCGATGGGAGGAGAGCAGGGGAGTCGGACGAGTATGGAAATTGCGACAGTATTGGGAACGTGTCGCAAAGAACAGCAATACTGGATGCAGCGTTGCTTGAATTTGCGGAAGTGAGGAGTTTGTGTTTACAAGGCGCTAGGAGTCCCATTTCATCAGTCTTTCTGTTGACATGTTGACATTTCTGTTTCCGAGGACATATGTTGGAGTATAGTATTACTTTTTTCTTGTATTGAAATCTTGACAGGGGCTCGGAAGAGTGTCGACCGCATACAAAGTGGTCGTGTCACTACTTGAAATATCTACCCATGTATTACGAATGATGGTACAGAAAGTGATTGCAGATTTTATATACGCCGGAGCATGCATGTACCAGTGAATCGGTGCAGTGCCAGACAATTCTAGTGAATGCCTCAAAGACCATCTATGCTCATCCAATCTACGCAAGAGCTTCACTCTAGAAACCCGAAACGATATCAAAATAAACAAGTCGTAACCAACGCCGCGCTGAATGCATAGGTGCGAACAGCACCAAAGACCCCTTTGTGTAAAACCTACCTATTCTGAAGCCGTCCAGTCCATTAAATCATGGTCCCCGGCGCCACAGGTGCAAGTCTTGAATCCATGCAATGCCAAACATGATGTGTGATCGGTTTTTGTAATGCTCTTGGGGGTGGAGATGCCGGCGTCATGGCCACGCTATGCACCACGGAAGCGGAAGCCATCATCCCAGTCCTCGTCGTCATCCTCGTCCTCGTCACTTTCCATATCCACCGCATTCGTAGAACTCGCATTCTCCTTGCCCAGTGCTTCCTTGACAGTCTTTTCAATCGTGCTATCCATGGCGGTACTCCCCAGGTTTGCAACAGTGCCTTTTCGCAACTCCTCACGACGTTCTTTCAGCTTGCGGACGCGGGATTCGAGTTGCGCCATCTCGGCAAACTCGTCCTCGAGTGCGCGAGTCGCGTCCTCCTTTTCATCTGCTATCTCAGTGTCGAGTAAGTGTTTCCTTCGCTCATTCTCCTCCTCTTGCGATTTGGCAGCCACCTCTCCAGCGGTTAGAGCCGGAGCGGAAATGACAGCATCGGCATAGTCGGGTGAAGCAACCTCGGCTTCAAAGGCTGCCCACTCTGCTTCGTCGATAGCACCACTCGTGGGAGCCCCCGTAGTAGCGGCAATCGTAGAGACAGGCAAGCTTTCTGTCGAAATTGGCAGATGGCTGATATTTGGCGCGCCAGCATGTTCTGGCCCGAGGCCGATCAACGGCGAGCGACCCAAGGGCGGCATGTTAGGTGTCGATGTTTGCGAGCCTTCGCCTATTTGTGGCGTGGCGGGGCGGGAGGGAATCGAGATCTCAAAGCCTTGTGCTGGTGTAGTCGAGGTCCGTCTGTTTAGCCCAGGAGGTGTTCCTGACTTTTCCTTGTCACCGTTTGTGGTAGAAGCAGTCATGTTCCTCTTCTTGGGCTGTGGATTATCCAGACTATCCCCATAATTGACATCCATTTCCTCGACATCGTCGTGCTTCCTCTTGCTCGTAGACTCTATGGAAGGTGCAGGAATTGCTACCGATTCGGCTTCCTTCTGTTCATGGTTTGAGCTGCGTAGGTGGTTGTCCCAACCCGCTTCGGACCTGACAACTTCGCGACATAGCTTGCAAAGCAGCTTGCCGGCGTCGCTGTAAGCTGCGTGGGGGTGCTCAATGCGGTTCGCAGCCCGGTGAGCTCTCAGCAAGGAGCGAGCATCGGACATGGTGGTGGCGCGCAACTTGGGAAAATGGGCAGGTTGTCATGCACATGAAGGTACGAGGCAGCCAGATACGAACTCAATGACCAATGGCCCATACGATGATAGCAGAGAATAGGAAATGCCGGGTTTGTCGTCTTTGGGGGGGTGGGATGTTTATGGTGTTGCCTATCGTTGACGATCCATGGACGATGGAAGCAAAGCTGGATGAACCTGGGATTTCAGGGATGGTGAGCCAAAAGCCGTGCATGTGGGCTGTTGCGTACCATAGACCATTGTTTGATTGGCGCGCAACGTTGGAGCTTCAGACTACAGGCAGGTAGGTAGGCAGGTAGGTAATGTAGGCAGGTATCTACCAACTCACCAATTGACCTTTGCCTACCTACTAGGTACATAGTAGGTAGTGAGCTTCGAGAGGGCAAGATTGAATCTACTAAATACGTGTTGATATGATGTTTGTTTGGATTGAAATACTCACCCAAGCAGCTGTATCTTAATTTCAGGGGCGCGGCCCTTACGGGGTGCATGCACACGACCATGGATGCGCTGCAGGTAATACTGTCTGGTTGGTACCTGATTGTTCTAAGCCCCGCCATTCTTTACATTAAGGTGTGTAGTACCTACTTTCAGCAGTGCAGGAGCTCAAGCTTCCAGGATTCAAGCTTCGAATGTTTGTAGCGACTTACTCTCTGCGTACACACATTCCGCCAATGCTTTGCGAGATCCAAGATCACGCATTAATCCAACGCCGCCCACTCCTCTTTCGCTACTAGATCTTTCTTTGATCTGACTTTGTTTCCCTGCACTTTAAAGTCTTGCGCTCGGACTAGTGATGCGCAATCAGCCCGTCAGATAGCATTTTCTTGCCTTGACGGACTGCGGCTCACCCGAAACGTTGAAAGTCCACACGCCGCCTTCAAGAAGTGAACCAACTCGTCAACTCCTCGATTACAATATACACACCGCTCCCAGAACATCAATCATCCTTGCGCCATGGCCGACGACGGCGAGTCGAAAAACGCCATCACGAGCACATTCCCCGCCCCTCCGCCCTTTTGGAAAGATTTCACTCCCGACAATGTTGCCAGAATCACCGACCTACGCCAGGAGCAAGTTGAGCGAGAGGGCATCGCAGATCCCAGTACCGTCCGCCTCTCTGGCCTGCCCGACAATCTGAGAAACTTACAACCACCGTCCGAGCCAGCTAGTGGCGCCTGGCGTGTATTTGGCCAGAATTATGCACTTCAAGAGGAGCTACCGAGTCTCGACAATGGCACTGGCATTCGAAAACTTTTCCCAGAACCTGAGGAGAGAGACCAGGACGGCAAACATTTCGACCGGGCGACCATACTGAAGCGTCTGGCCAAGAGTCTACTGCTTAACTTCCTGGAACTCACCGGTATCCTGTCCAGCAATCCAGGAGCGGTATGTTGTCCATGCCTATGATCCGTACTCTGTCGAATCATGTCATTCTAACCCGTTGTTAGGCTGAAGATAAGATTACAGATATTCGCGATCTTTTTCTCAACTTCCATCACCTAATCAATGAATACCGGCCTCATCAAGCGCGAGAGTCTTTAATCTCCATGATGCAAGCCCAGCTTGACCGGACCCGCGCCGAAACCAATGCAATTCGCGACGTCAAGGAGAAGGTTGAGCGAATGCTTGAAGGTCTCGGGAGCCTCAAAATGGAGGATACGTCAAGTGGGGCAGGAGAGGCGAAGCACATCATTGGGAATCATGATTTGATGCTAGACAGTGTCCTGGATGTCGAACTTGCCTGAGAGCCTGGCAGACGAAAGGGCCATTTCCAAACCCGTGTCACGGGTCTTTGGATTTTACACAGCGGGTTAAGCATGGAGCTTGATGGTAGACAGAGGCCTCAGGACAGCAATGTCTTGAAGCAAGGCACAACCGTGCAGTCTTGGCTGGCGAGCCTGGCAGAGAGCCTTTGAGTGTGTTTTCTTACTTTTGTGCAGCCGGCGTTTGGACGTTAGGGAAGGACCGCCTATTATGATACCCCAGAGAGCTTCGGCGGAGCAAGAATCTAATCCATAACATGTTTTGGTCATTACATTACGCATCAAGTACACTAGTAGGATCTTGACAGGGTCGCGGATTGACGATTTTCCCCCAAAGGCCCAAAGGGCCCTTCTGAAACTGGAGAAACTACTTTGATGATTTATACATGACCGAGAGAGCCGTCACAATGGTACGGGATTGGTACAAAATAGACATCAAGAAAAATCAAATTAGAGCAATATTCCGAAGTTCGTACATGCACTCCCGGTTGAACACTCAAGCTGTGTGTTTGCTATTTGGGATGCATTCACCATTGCGTTACGATGGCAACATGGCCTCTTGCATAAGAGATCGAGAATGCCCCCCTCGAACTCTGCTGTACCCGGAAAATCACAGCGCGTTGTCAAAACATCGTCCATCATGGTATGTATTTGCAATTGCAAAAAGCCATGCCTCCCCGGTGCGGAACCTTAGATTCTCAACACCAATCCCGAGCTTGATGCTTCCAGGCAAATTTGACAGTGCTTGATGCAAGGGTGGAATGAGTGTGGCTGCATCAAGGACGAATTGGTTTTGTTGGATGCCGTTATGTTTCATCATTGTTGTAGCCTCACGGTTGTGTACATGCAGTTCATACAAGCACGATGCCGTATGCTTGCACAGGAGGTATCACAGGTGTTTCCGTGGCTGTAATACCATTGATAGACAAATGTGAAGACCAGATATCTCTCACGGAGAAGGTATCGAACAGCCCACTTTTAGAGAATTTGGTTTTTGGTCATTTCAAGATTATTAAACAGTGATTATTCTTGTTGTTGCCAGTCCTTATTCCCTTGTGACTGCAGCAATGGCTAGAAAATTGAGGTCGGGACTGTGGGATTGGGATAGGGATGGAATTATACATGATCGCAGTACACAAAGCACATAAGAAAACAATGCAACAATCATGTTTTGGCCCATTAATCCGCCGATGAGAGGATCAAAGTGTAACCCATGGGACATTTGTACGCATCTCCAAGGTACCGCTAATGATATATGCTTGGTGGTCATGATGTACAGAAACAAAGGTAATCAATTGATGTTGCACAAGTCCGAAAGCGCTCTCGTTAGATTATTCGAGAGCCCGAGGGGCTTGATTGAGTTTTAGGGTATGGTACTCTATTCGAAAACGTCGTTTATAAATAAAAGAAACAGTCTCTCAGGTTCAGATCATCTCACTTGTCAAATTCCTCCTAGCATCCACCTTTTTGTCCTACATTATATTAATACCACAGTCACTCGTTCATCATGACATCTTACATTATCTGCCTAGTTGCTCTATTGACATGCGCGCTCGCATCAGAAGAAACACTCCGCCTGACTCAAACCTCCATGGCTACCACGACCGTCGTAGTAAACCCGCCGTCAGAACCAATCATCCCGCCAGCAGAATGGTCTACTTCATTTGTCACCGGCTACCTCTCTCCCGATAACATAATCACTAGCACGCTCCCAACTACGGCAACACGAACAGTTCTAGGACATACTTCGGTGCTCTCAATTACGAGATCATGTCACGTGGACTCTTCATCTGCTGCTTATTCGTCCACGACTGTGCTTTCCCGTCCTAATTCGACAATGGCCTGTTACAGTACAGAGCAGGTCATTACAACCTACGTGACATATACACACCACACCTGTGCCTACAGCACGGAAACGTCTGGCTACATACTCAGTACCACTTCTCGTTCAACATATTCATGTGATCCGAGGGTTGACCGATCATGTCTGGCCTCTTCTTCTTCAGCGGCTGTGTCGTCTGTCCCTGACACCACATTCACAGCCGCAGTCGACCCAACTAGTCACAGTACCGCACCATGTCAGCAGTCTTCTACGTTGTCTCCTAGCGTTTGGGCAGTCAGCTCGACCTTCTCCACCTCACCCCGAACCCAATCAACTAGCAGATCATCAAGCTCAACTACTACTTGTTCCACTCTCCATAGCACATCATCTCCATCCATAAGCTATCACCCCACGTCCAGCAGTACCTCATCACCAGTTACTGCCGGAACCAATGCTCTGAACCCAATGTCCGTGGTCCAAACACTCGTCACACCTTTCATATTTTTATTGGGATACTTCTGGGTTCTTCATTGAGATATCATCAATCGAGAGTGAAGTGGTCCGACGTTGGACAGATTATTATGGTGAGATAGTTCTAATTTAGCACTTGAAAATAGTAAAACAAGTAGGAAAGTAGCCCAGATTCTGAGTCGATAATTTATTCTGCGATTTTTCATGAATGGAAAGCACTGCTAGTATTGTGACACTAGTCTTTGATTTTTTTCGTTGTGTTTTTCATTTCTCTCCTGGAATTTGTCTTTATACGAAAGCCTGACGATTTGTATACTTTAGATATATCATTACAGGCCTTCACAGATGGACCCTGCCGTGCGACGAAAGCAAAATCAATCGGATTAATGTGTTGAGCTCAAATATAAGAACTTAGAAGGGTATCTTGCTACGTAGTAATGTCAAAATTTGTAATCATCTTGCTGGGTTTCCCCTTGTGCATAAAACCACACTGCTTTCCACCAAGACAAAGAAAAGATGTTCCAAAGATAGTGAGAGTTAGGGGGTGATACGCCATGAACTAAGTGCTGGCCGAAGAGCTTCGTCCATCTATCTCTTTCCCGTTACGTTTGAGAGAAATCTCATCCTCCATTCTATCAAACATGACGTGCCCCTTGTGGTCATGATCGCTAGGACTGGACTGTTGAACAGTAACATTAACGTCAAATGTTCGTTGAATTCCAGCACCATGAGCAAGGTCATGATCGACATCTTCAGGGTCATGTCGAATCTTTGATTTGGTAAATGATTTTAGTCCAATATCACGATTCCTACTATTGTGGGTGTTTTCGTCGGTTCCGTACTGGCGTCGGCGGTCGGACTCGGATAAAGTATTGAGATAGACGTCGTTGGCTCCGCTCCGAGCGAGGCGGGTGATGAGTGTTGCCATGGACATTTCAATGTTGAGCTTGACCATGTACGCCACGGGGTGGAATTGGATGAAAACAACTTGATTGGGAAGAGACATGAGGCCAATAAGCATTGCCTATACATAATTAGCACTATTGGTCTGTCAAAACCCTTGAGACAAGGATCACTTACATCCATTAGGATGGAAACCACCATGAGCTTGGCATTGAAGCTGACAAGCGGCTTGTACTTTACAAGACCATATTGATCGAGGAGACGCTTCTTTACAATTCGCAGAAAATACCCTGTTGCTTGATTAGCCGCACCATCCATATGAATATGACCTCGAATCGTGGTGTGCTCCATTGGGTTGGCTTCTCAATAGAGAATAGAAAAAGAAATGCTGTCTCGAGAAGCTTACAGTTCAAGCCAGCGTCCACAATCAGAATCAAGACCTTTGAAATTCTGTCCCAGTATTCGTTGATATGGGTGAAACTAGGTTACTCTAGTTAGCCAAGAGCGATCCAGTGAAAACAGAATTATACTTGCATGTCACTGGGTGGCGGGTCCATGTGAGCAGGAATCCAAATCGCGAAGACTGTCTCTAATGTTAGCCACTGTTTCTAACCATTAAGGGGGCCTTTCTGGTGAAGCCAACAGAAGTTAACAAGTCATACCCAGAATCTCAATGACCAAGATAAGGAGAAAAGTTCCCCATTTCAACCAAGTAATTAGTTTCTTGTCCTCGTGAATGATTGCTATTCGGTTGATAATGATCTGCATCAAAAGTTGCACTTCGAACACCCATAAGAGCAGCTAAGTCCATAAAAGTCAGCGAGTCCCAATGGTCAGCCGTGTTCTCATAAGCTTACAATGAAAAATAAGACAGGCACCCTAATGCTACATGTTAGTTCAATGAATAAAGAATACTGGAGGGCTCAAACGTACGTAGCTGAGAGGATGCCATCGAGAAACAGCCATGCAATTATCGCAATGGCCAAATTGGCTGCGATCTCGCCCCAGAGCATGTAGATGTAAGTGCTTCGTAAAGGATTTTTATTCCTCTTCGTCTGTTTCAAGGCCTCCCAGACTGTCAGAAATCCAAAACCCAGCGTAAACCCAGCCGCCAGTGAGGCGACCTGATAATCGGTTTTGCTTGCCATGTCTAGTACATGCGTGTCGTTTGAAGAATTCTTGAGGCGATACCAACGGTACTTTGTGGATGTAACTTGACTGACAAGAGGAGAGATGAGTATATGTTCGTATAAAAAAGTATGTGATGATTAGGGGAGAGAGAAAGACCCCGAGTCGTGTAAATGGAGCCAGAGAGAGGTATATGACTTCGCTTAGCCTTGAGCACACATTCACCGGTGCTTCTTCCTGATATCCGAAGTGGACTGGAATATAGTTGCCTCCACTCCACAAATCTCAAGGGTACCTGACAGCAACGCATGCTTCACTCTGGTTTGCATGAAACTTGATCCACGTGGGTTCACTACCACGCAGCGTAGTATCGGGTGGATTAGACTACTCTCAGCCTGCTGGTCATGGTGTTGAAGTACGGATATTTTGGCCCACACGAGTATAGCGTGGAGACAATGTTCCGCAAAGCGGAGTTCGATTTATGCACAAACATGCGTTTTGACCCAGATGGAGAATACACCGTCAAGGTGACACAAGGCCAACTACTAATTAAACGAAGCGTCAGGGACCTGCATCTCAAGTGCCGGCCTGCCATGTTTTAACGTTGGCAACCTTGTCAGCTTATACAAATGACTGTACATCGGCACAGGATGTATGCTTTTTGATCGTCCAGCATTTAGTCTTCTTTGCCCAAAAAAAAAAGAATAAACGACTCTAATCGGAAATAATTCCATGGACAGGCAAGATTGACTAACATCCCCGAGAGGCTGAGTCTATAATCCGACGCCTTTAACGCTCTAGTCCACAATCATCCTCGCTTCTTCTCGGGGCGTGGCAAACGACCTCTGGTGGCGGCGAACTGGGCGCGCCTTATCGTTGGAGCTATCGCTAGCGACTCCATTTCTATTTGTTTTCCGAAGGCCCTGATGCATCTGGCATATGGCTTTTTCTTCTACTTGGAAAAATCAGATTTCGAAGCCATAATGTAGTGTAGAGACCCCTATCCTCATACCCCACTTGTCCTTTACCATGTCAATAATGGTTCCGATCATGCCGGATTAACCGTCAGATCGAACCGGTGCCATCTGCTGGCTGTGTTCTCACCAAATCTCCAAGAATTGTTTTCGCGGCCTCCCGCTTCGCAGTTACAGCACGTGGCGATGTATATCATGACTGCCCCCCGTTGCATCCTGCTGTATGATGATCTCCAGACGCAACACGTCCGTGGGCATGGAGGTGGAGCAGGTACAACTTGATTCATACGGCTTTATACATATCATCTTGCTGCGTGAGCCATGAGGTTCAGGTTGACTAGGATCTCTTCTCAAGCTCCCCCCGTTGAATCAAAACTGACAGTAACATATGCATGCAAGAAATGGGCCAGGGGCAACATCCCCTTGCATTTTCCCCATCATTCCATGTGTACAAAGCATGTCATGTTCCACCACTGATGACTCTATTGAGCTACCAACCGAGCCAACTTACTTGTTCCTCCAGATCCGCTTCTGGTCTTTCTAGTGCAAAGAAGAGGAAAGCTGAGGTCGCTCACGAGATCTTTGACATTTGTGTTCTCCGTAACATTGCATACTTATTACTGAGACAGGTAGGCAAGTGGAACTCTCACCACCATGATCCGCATCGCCAACTCCACAAAAAGTGCTATGACCTCTGGCGAGTCTAGAGAAGAGGCATAGCTTGCTCCCCGGATCGACATTCCGTTGCGCATACATACCTTAATGTATACTATGGTACGCACGCGTCCCACTTCTGATTGGTACGTCTCTGTAGGTGGCAGGCTCATATGTTACGGAGCTAGCCTTGTACATTGGCGGATGCAACGAAGAATTTTTACAGAAACTAGGCTTGCCAGACATTTCCTGACTTCGGGTATGTGCAGGGAGAGATTTGCCGATATCAATATCACAACAGAACCAATAGCCGAATGAAAGACCTACTGCCTTACCTGTATCGTCTGGCCCACGATCCTACCTTAATGACCAATATGCGCATCCATCTTCTAGCCCCGAAAAGACTCCTAGTAGCATCGCTGCTCGGCGAATCTCGATGCTCTTATATAGTGGACCATTACTGCTGCGTACCACGCTTATTAGTATCAGTATGTGCGGCGGAATCCGCTATTCGTTTTTCCCCCACCTCTTTCCCCAAAGCAGCTTATTACCGCTGACGAATTTCGGTTTGCTAGCTATAGTGGAAACGCTCTTTTTTCTTCTTATGTACTGGCGGCCAAAACTGCGCACAGGTTTCTTAGATTCTTGGAGTCACGAACAATTATGACTACCTAACCTTAGTATTTACTTGACTCGTCTGGTAGCAATTATGGAATTATCATCTCCAAGGCACACATTTAGATTTCTCCTTTACCTAATTACGTACTTGGCCACGAGTACTGGCAGACACATTGTCCATAATTCTCCGCAGTCTGGCCTGAAGTCGGTAGGCTTCAAGTCATGATACTCCATAGATCTTCATCCGAATGCAGCTGTCAATGTCTTGGCGAGCAATGAGCACCTGGGCAAGGAGTGGGGTTAATGGAGACGAGCAGGGCCTTGGCGAACCGTGCTCTTCCTACCATGATTTTATTTCCTTGCACGCAGAAACGGAAACTCTCCGGAACTTATGGCCCGCGGACGGAGTTGAGAGATAGAAACGTCTATTGATTCTCGTCAGCAACTCGGCCGATAGATATACGCATGACTAGGAAGAGTCGATTGTTTCGAATATCCTGAAATGAAGCCCAATGTAGAGCCAGTTGTAAGCTTGGCCACATGTCTTATCATCTCATTGAACTCGGTGCTGCTTGTATCGTGCCATGATCTCCTTGGCCATATGCAAAACTGCAGGGTAGTGCAATCTTACCGGAACCAATGTTGTGATCAAGGATTACACAGGCTTGGACTGCTATATTTCCATCAAGTAAAGAAGGAATACTCCTATCCGCTCCGACACCAAGTATATTCAAGAAATAATCTGATGCATTGAATTGTTGCCCTCGAAAACTTCTTGTTTCCTTGTGCAGTAAGTGAGGTTACCACGGAGGGAAAGGCAACAAAATGGCACCGAGATGACGAACTTGGACAAACTGTCACGGCATGGGTCTTTCCCCTCTCCCTTGACTCTCTCAAGTATTCAAGACATTTATACGAAATGCGGCGGCACGCGCAATGTCGCTCGCAAGACTAATATACACTCCCTCCGACACTATTCAATAGAACCCCGCCGACGGTTTAATAAAAGAAAGGGAAATCACACCAGCTTACGTACAGACAGTAACATAAAGTACACGTACTGTGTGTATGAGGTGCTCGACATACAAAACTGTCTCGTGGAATAGATGCAGCAATTTGATGTTCTGGTGGAAGTGTTGGTGTCTCAATATGAATTGTAGTTCTCCAGCTGCCCAGGGCTGACACCAGATGGCCATCTATTGGCCATTGTGTTCATTTGAAGATGCTCAGCGGGGCAATTAGAAGTGCTGGAGCTTTGGCCAACGGTCTTGGGACCGAATAACTATTGACGCGCTGAAGGCACGCGAAAAGTGTCCTGAAAGACAGGGGCACCATCGCACTTCTCCTGTACCTATCTGACCTACTACTACGTAGCTCCATCACCAAGCACGACGACTGAATGTGACACCAACTGAAAGAAGTCTGAGGACAACAACACCCCTTTCTTACCTTCACGCCACTCATTTGACAGCTATTTCCCTCTGTTATCAGGACTCAACGCGCCCGGCCACTGCTCCTGTCGCCTCTGTAATTACTTGCGCCCTTAATCACCTATCAATTAGTCACCAGTCGAACCAACCAATACACAATTCAGCCAGCCAAACGCAACCATGACCCGCGCCCAGCAGACCATCTCAATCGCACTCCTGGCATCTTCTGTGCGCTCTCCTCCCATCAAACGACCCATGCATCCCAGTGTCATTGATAGCTAATGTGGACTCAGTTCTACCTCGCCCTCTTCCTTCAGCTCGTGCCGCTGCCCGAACTGATTCAGACCGAAATTGTTCCTGTGGTATGTCACATTTGCCCTCCATTGCTGCCACCGCCGCTACCAACGCCCACTGTTTCGTACCGTTCACCGCGAAAGCCTTCGAGTCCAAGTACATGTTTGCTGACCGTTGATTCATAGCTTCCATTCTGGGCACTCGTCTCTTTCGGTGCCTTTCTTCTCTTCCGCCTTGGTTGGAATGTCATGACCTTCAACGACGTACCCGAGGCACACAAGGAACTCATGGGCGAGATCGAAATGGCGAAGAAGGACCTGCGTGCTTTGGGAGTCGATGTGGACTAGACGGGACATTTTGCGACAAGATCCACGTCCAGCGAGCTCAGCTAGCAACAAGGAGCGATACTGTTACACGATGCAGGCGGCGCAACAGCGTTGGAAGGATCAGGTCACGTTTCCACACCTTTGCAACGACAAGAGAACCCTCTCCAGAGGTCACTTCTCGCCCAAGTGACTGCATTGGCAGCCTGAAAGGCAACAGATTCAACATGTTGAAGACACAATTCGTCAGGGGTCAAGGGTAGTTGGGCCGGCCACCATAATGTCAATAAGAGTACCTGTATCATCATTAGATGATCTTGTCTAGCACGATCCCATCTGACGCCTGCATGCTTTCCGGACTTCCTTGTGGTGTGAATGGGCCAATTCTGTTCATGCTTGTTCTGTGCGTTTATTCCTTCTCATCCCTAGCCAGCAGTGCAACGACCGTTTTCAGGGCTCCCATCGGGTCATCACCGTCTTGGACAAGCTTGTCAAATATGACCGGAATTTTCGCCAATCGCCCTGCAGTATCTTTGCTGTGCCCTTTTCAGAAACAGTGTCAGTCAGTAGCGAGCGTACATGGATCAAGGGCTGTGACCTACATTTGCCCGGTGTATGGACCAGGAGTTTGATGGTATTTCGTCCCTCTCCGGTCCAGTCAAATGTAATCTGCCAGTTAATCCGCAATTCCACCTTATCCTTTCCCTGCGAGCCAAGAACCAAATCGAGGCCAGTCCGTCCAAGTTCAGAAACCAATTGTTTTCTTGTCATCTCAAACTTGTTTCCATCAATTTCCACTTCCTCGTCAGAGTTTGCTCGCGTAACATCAACTACTGTCTTGTGGAGACGCTTCCTCCGCTTCGCCCGCCGTAGATCACGGGCACATTTCAGGATACCTTGTGTATGACCCAACTCTTTTGCGATACACGACCACAATCTAGCCCGCTTACTGGCTAACCTCGTCCACTCGGCCATTGCCCATGTCATGACAGCGATATTTCGCCTGGAAGAACCCAATGAATTCGTATCAGTGCCTAGAACCCTCTCGATAAAGGGGCCAAGTTCGCCAACAGCTGCAGGCTCCAGCTTGGGCACAACAAGCTCCAATATTGACAGGGTCTTTGTGTCAACAAGCATATCTATCTGTGCTGAGAAGAGTCCTTTTGGCATGGATGTTATAGATATATGATGCTGTTGTATCACATCAGGAGCATCGTCACTTGGTTCGCGAGGGATGATTGTAGTCGCCGACGCAAAGCTAAGTGGTGTAAACAGTTCAAGGTAGGGTCTTTCCTCAGCTAGACTCATCTGCAGTGGTTCATGTGACGTGGGCGGCAGTTGGTCTACTTGATCTAATGGTTGAAAAGGACTCGGTAGAGCTGCCAATTGGCTCCCAAAAGGTAGGAAGGACATGGGATCAAGCGCTGCCTTTAGCCAAGCCTCTGATGCTTGCACTTGGGGCTCTTGCTCGAGCGGTGGAGCATGCCGAAGAAGAATGTCGAATAAAGCATCCGGATCTTGAATTGTTGTTGATGTCCGCCCAGCAGAGCCACGGTGTTGTGGGGAATTGAGATTATCGTTTTCTCTGCGTGCGACCTCTAGGTCAGCCAGCAGCTGACTGACTTCCGCTTGCAGCAAGTCTCGAGTCGCCGTCTTCTCCGCCAAAGGATCCGGATCTTTGATACGTCGAGCTGTGTGCGGCTTGCTTGGGGTTGATTGTGACTGTTCTTGCGCATTTCTTTCTTTGCCCTGATCCGATGTTTCTATACGTGCTGCTGGTTGAAGCGCTTGCGACAATGCCGCTTCATGCTGTGCCAAGCTCTTTGATGCCGGCCGAAGTACCTTGGCGGAGTTTTTTGCCAGAGCCTCCTTTCCAAAAGACTCGAAGTCAGTCGGTCGCACCGGCGGTTGCTTCAAGGGTGAACTGCCACTACGAAGCTTGTCAGCCAGAGCCCTACTCCTCCTGGGTCGCTTAGACGGCGTGTTATGGATTCCCATGGGTGACGTATTGACTGCATCCGGATTCGATAAGCCCTTCTCCGTTGGTGTAGGCGGAAGCTCTGGCTCATCGGGCTCTTGCACAGGCAGTACACCACGCGGTGGAGATCTGCGTAGGGCCCGCCCTTTGAAAGGGTCTAGTAACTCCTCCTCTTGCACTGAAGGCGGCGGGAGCGGTCGCGGTGATGGTCGATGCATCGAGCGTCGCGGTCTGCCTCGCATTCCACCGAGACTTTGACGGATCGGGCTCTGTGGCTCTCTGACTGACGGACCAAGTGCCATGTTGGAACCAGCTGGATCAGATGCCGGTCTATTCTCTGATGCGCCCTCCAATTGGGCGGTCACGGCCTGGTCGTCTCCGCCATCGCTACCATCGCTCCCATCGCTTGGGGATTCTCGAGGCGCTGGGCCAGTGCGCAGAGTACGCGCCCGGCCCTCTCCGTCCGGGGAGATGGATAAAGAGGTCTGTCTCCTCGTCGACCGTCTCACAGATTGGGCGCCGGATGATGGAGCGGCAGGACTATCTGACCCGCCTGGTGGAAGACTCGAAGTTTTGCGTCGCTTGGGGGCGGAGGTTTCCATATCAGTGGCAGAGTTGACTGTATCTAACTTGACATGATTGGCATATGAATCCTCATAAGCCTCTCGGAAATATCGATGCTCGGATGTCGTTCTCAAGACGTATGTAGACTCGCGAAGTGTTGGTATGGTGGGGTTGAATGTTGATCTTGCACGATTTCTCAACCTGGTGGGCTGTTGCAATTCAATGAATTATGACCTAACCGGTCATCAATATACCGATTGGAAAAGGGTAAGAGTTATAGACTACCCACGTCTTGTCTTGAAACACTTGTCAAATTGAATACTTTTTAATCGCAATGATACAATCTTTTGTGAGTGTAACGAATGTATCTTCGCATGTCCAATCGCGTCCTGGTTGAATCGCGTGGTTGGCCAACGCGTCTCTTTGCCATAGCTACAGGCTACATACCATGTGGTGTGGTGCCTATGTATGTAATGCACCCAGGTACCACACAAGCTCCATGTCGGCTTCAGTCAAAGGGTCCACCTAGACAAGTGTGCGCTATGACGTTTTCTCTCTAATGGATTGCCAAGCGGAAGTTTATTAGCGCCATTGGTTGAAAACACCATCGTTAGCAATCACTACATACCTTCGTGCCTTGGTTCGTGCGATTCCGACTTTGCGACATTATCCTCTCAACACGTTTGCCCGCACCCTTCGTTCATTCTGCCTGTCATGTCGCCTCTCGCCTCTCGCCCCTTGTTCAGGGGAGCTCTTCAGCTCTCCTCGACCTTCTCTAAGCGTTCCATCTCGTCCTTTAACAAGACACCGCCACCAGCCAACAAGGGCCCCAACAGCGGTAGCGAACAAGCTCTACCTATCGGCCCTTACTATGAGGCCATCATTGTAACGCCTCAACCCATTCCTGAGACCAAGCCAGAGGAGCCGCCCACCTCTTCGCCCAAGTCTCCTCGTAGCACAGCCAAAAAGAACGCCGCGGCACGTAAGAACCCTCCTTCTAGAATCAGACCTCGTGGCTAATATGCGTCACCTCATGTAGAAGACCAACGGCAACACCAGCCAGTAGATACATCCCCGGCGCCGGCTCCTTCACCTTCCACTGAACCTGCGACAGCGCAGGAGAAAGCACGCATCATTTTCGGCTCTCGACTCGCTGGCCCAATCGAGCGAGCAGAGAGACTACAGGCAATCAAGGACAAGAGCACCATGATCGCAGGAGTTCGGGTACCCCCTAAACCTGAGGAACCAGACAATTGTTGCATGAGCGGATGCGTCAATTGCGTCTGGGACCGATACCGTGACGAAATGGAGGACTGGGTGTCTGCTAGTAAAGAAGCAGAACGATGTCTGCAAGCCCAGCGCGCTCAAGGTCCCGTCGATGCGCTGAGTAGTGCGAGTGCTGTCAAGGAAATGGATGGATCGAAAGAGCCAGCTTCGGCGACTTCTGGCTCGGGTCATGTGCAGCCCGGTTCAAGCGTCAATGAAGCAGTGAGCATGGATGATGATGGAGGAGGTAGTGACACGAATTGGCCGACACCACAACCCAAAATTGCCAAAGACTTGTGGGACGACGGCTTGTACAAGAACGTTCCCGTTGGTATTCGGGAGTTCATGAAGACGGAAAAGAAGCTGAAACAGAGGCATGAGGAAGAGGGCTCTGTCGGTGGTTAAGAATGCGCGCGAATACCCCCAAGGTTTCTATCGTAATATACATCATCTTTCAGACAACTTTGGCAATCCATTCGACTCGTTCGCCAGTAAAATCCATGGGCATCGCGCGTATATTGAAGTAATGGAGCCTGCTGACCTTTGCAGCTTCCACCACCTGGAACCTGGATCGACACCATGCGAAAGGAAGCTTGGGGTATCGTGTCCCAACTACCTCAGAGCATCGCTTTCTCCGTCTGAATAAACTTACTCGGGTGAGTCACTGCTTTAGACTTTGCGCATACAAAGGGACTCGTGAACCAAGAACATCTGTGCCTGCCTGTTCACCTGCATGAGCCAGACCAACTACTACTACTTTGGCCACAATATTTCTCCTCCTTGACTGCAACATAACACAACACAGAAATATCTACTCAGCTACTTTAAGGGGATAACCAACTTACCATCAAACAAGTATCCGAATCGTCCACAACAATACTAGTGCAACCAGTCTTCAACCATGGCACACAAAGTATTCCACCGAGAAAGCTCCTCATCCACAGCCTATCGACGCATCGGCGCTGGCTTTTGCGGATCGGTTTGGGGTGATCCTGAACACCACAATGTTGATTCCTCTGTCGCAATCAAACGCGAAGACGGCGGCCCCGGGCGGTCACTATTTAACGACTTTCAAATTCACAAGATACTCATCACAGCCTACAATGAGTGCCCACAGCATATTCAGGCCGCTTTCCAAATTCCAGAATGTCATGAGTTCGTTCCAGATACGTATGCTGGCTGGACGACTACCACTCTCCTGAATCGGTTTCCACAAGGGTATACTGCTTGCAACATTCTTATCACACAGAGGATCCCGCCATTCCCTGAGCAGGCTCGTCATGCACTGACCGACAAATTCTGTCCTACTCATCTCATTGAAAACATCAAAGCTGATACCAACAACCTCGATTGCCTAGTTCGCCCATATCTAGGTCGTCGCAAGTTCGGACAATGCCGATCCAAATTGCGCGTCTTCAGTCTGCGGAATTATCCACTCCATATCGATCAAATGTCGGATCTCGGACTGGACGCCTTTGGCTACTCGACTGCCATTGCCAGAGCTTTGGCATTCATGTATTGGAAAGGAAAGATCGATGCCAACGACGTCGAGTTTGTTCTCGCACCAGCACCAGATTTTGCTTTGTCACAGTTCCATTCGGCGCATCTCGGCGGCCACAACTTGTGGATTCTGGACTTTGATTGCTGCAAAAGCATGTCGATGAATAAGGAAGGAGTACACCGGGCAGCACAAGCTTTTCTGCGTAATGATCCATTTTATCCATGTCCCGGGCGAGAGAACAAGGAGGATCAAGAGCTGTGGAAACACTTTAGAGCTCAGTTCCTGGAAGCAAGCTCATATTTATTGCATGATGACGACGAGGCATCCAGAATACTTCCAAATTTGCTCATGGAAACCATTGAGAAGTTTGTACAGGAATCAAGCGCCGGCCAGCAGCGTATACATGAACCAGTGCAATAAACATGATTCCTATATTGGTCTTTCTGCAAGAGTGTTCAAGCGGTCAATGTCAGAAATAATGTATCCGAAAGTTGACTGCCTCGCATCTAGGCGTCTACTGCCAAGAAATACTGTGGTTCTCAGCCAGTTTGTTTTTGCAAGCCCACATGTAGCCGAGAAAAAGCAGTTATCATTTTGCGGCGAGGTCTTGATTGTAATATTGGCCTCTGCGATTTGAAAATCGTTGCTGAGGAGTGTAGTACTATTCCTATGGCTGTTAATTATTGATGCCACTTGAGGCATGGCTTAATAGAGTCAAGGTTCAGAGATCTGCGGTTCGTAAAAGCACAGGGCGGTCTCGCTATGAGACAGCGGGAGGGAATAGTGGGGTGCCCTGCCGCAATACCTGGCTGGCAGTTTGGCTGGCCTGGGTACGGTCGTGCAAGCTAGCACACCTTAATGTGTGTAGGCCATTGCGTGCCGTGTGTTGGGACGAGATCTCGGTTACGTAGAAAAGTCTCATTCATATAATGTACACAATATCGGATAAGCAGCACCATGAGTGACGGTCCAGGAAGTGTTCTATACAAAAACGTTGGTAGGTGCAAGCAAACGATCGCGCGGGATTAGTGGGCAAGTTTTTCATGTCGAACCTATAACAGGTAACTATCTGCATGTCATCCCCTTGGCCTTCCAGCGGAGGGTATTACTGCTCACCCAAGTATATGGATGGTCGAATGCATCCTCTTCCGAGCAAGCCATGGTAAGACAAGGCTTGCAACCTTGATTCTTGCCGGCATCGTCGCCGTTCATTTTAGCCTGTCATGCCCAATATGGATTCTACCGGATCTCAGTGTTGCCGCACACACTATAGTGACTCCAGCTGCAGCGCCAAAGCTCTTGCAAACGCTAAATATAGGGACACGATATACCTTTCGGATGCAACACACACATCTGTATCCTTGGATTACCGGGTTCGCTTAGTCGCTGTACATGACTCTGTGCACTCAATCTGAATTGGCATCTCAAAGAAGAAAATTTGCCAAGTCGCGATCATATACAAAGACGCTGCCATCCATTGGAGCGGCCACCGGGTTAAGAAAAGTGGCTCGTGAATGTCTCATTCAAACCATGTGCCAATACGGAAAAGCTGCGTAAAGGATGAGACAAGGAGACTTGACAAGTTGTCAAGTCGTAATCTTCAACCAGTAGAAACTCTGAAGGGGGTATTCTTGGTATATGCCAAGAAGCTGAAATCAGAGAGGCTGCTTACAGATGTTCAAATTGGCAATATGGCAATTGTATCATGTTTGTCAGTGTAAGCCCAACCATGTGCATACCGACATTCGAATACATGAGACAATAGGAGAGCCATTTTTGAACGGATATAAATACCATCACACCTCCGCAGATGATTTCACATACAGCAACAGCCTAAGTAAAAATTTGGTTTGGACTTTGTAAATACCTCCAACTCACCCGTCATCATGAAGTATTTCTTGCAACTTTTGTCCTTCGGTCTTCTGGCCACTGCCTCTTCCGCTCTTCCACTGCTTGATGAACGACAGACTGCAGTGTACAGTTTGACCGTTTCAACGTAAGTGGTCATGTTTGAATCACCGCTGGCCGTACTAACAGCTTTGAGAAGTACCTCGAGCACCGCACTCAACGGACAAACCGTAGAGATTGTGAACTCTGTGCTTGGAGTGTACCCCGGGAACCAGCCCGCTGCCACTTTCTATCCTATTCCAAACCAAACCAAGCCTGGGAGAAGCTCGCTACATACTTATCCCGTGGGGATTGTTGACCACGTACTTGGCTTGAAAGGAAGTGATGGCCTATATTCGCTCGTTGATGTGACAAATATCGGACAGAGCGGGGCCGCGGCATTCTATGACGGTTTCATTCTCAGAAACAACCTCGTGAGCCATGAAATTCCTGGAAATTGGGTTGCGTTCCCTGTCGGCAATGGGTGGCAAATTAAGCGGTATGACGGTAAGTGACTGTCTTTGTGAATCGCATAGGCTACGTTAACGTGTCATGACATAGGAAACGCTATTGTGACCCAAGATTATGTGCCCGTGAACCTGGTATACAAGCTGGTCAACAAGTATTGAGATGGTTGCCTACATGGCTGTTTTACGATGCAAAAAGACAGTGGTAGTTCTATACCTTTGATGGAGAGCCATGTATATAAACACACAAGATTTGTGATTTTGGGGTGGAGTAGTAAATTGAACCAAGAAGATCTAGCATTGGACTTGACACGTATGATCGTCTACTGTAATCCTTTACGCAGCATCCTCGTTGACGAGAACGTATCTATACCTAGCCTTGCCAGCTTCCAGATCAACGATGGCCTGGTTAGCGTCCTTCATGGAGCGCTCTTGAACCAGACCCTTGAGGTTCTTCTTGGCGACAAGTTCCAGCATTTCCCGAAGGTCATTTGGCGATCCGATAAGAGAGCCAGTGAACTTCTTGCGACCAAAGACGATGGAAGGACCAGCAATCGGGAATGCTCCATCCTCGGGCATACCAACCTGAACCAAGGTGCCGTTCTTCTTGATAAGTGAAAAGTAGTCGTTGATGGGAACCTATGATGCATGAGTTTAACATGAAGCGCACATGGTAAACAACAAGTGAACTGACCTTTGAAGATGCCACCGTCGAAACGATCAGGTCCAAGCTGCGGTAGTGCTTTTGAACCCAGTCCTTTTCGTCATCAGTAGCGATGTAGTCATCAGCGCCCAGGCCGAGAACCTCAGCACGCTTGGACTCCTTGCGAGAAATTCCAACGACTTTGGCACCCATAGCCTTGGCCAAAAGAACTCCATAATGACCGAGGCCACCAACTCCAACGATTCCGATTGTCTTGCCAGGTCCAGTCTCGTAGGCCTTGAGAGGGGCAAACATGGTAACTCCACCGCACATCATCTAAGACTCAAATCAGTATATGTGGCGGCAAGAAAGACATCAGTGTGACTTACGGGTGCAGCCTGGCTGGAGTCGACACCATCAGGAATCTTGACCACGAAATGCGACGGGGATCGGTGATAGGTTGCATATCCACCTAAAATCGTGTGAGTATTTGCTGATATGAAGAAGCTTTCAATAAAGTTGACTCACCTTGAGCAGCGTCGCCATTGAAGTGTTTACTTGGAAACAGTTAGTGAATCCGACCATGAAATGAGCAGAACATGTCATCCTTTCATGCTTTATAGCTTGAACCCACGGTCGCCAGAACGTCCTTAAATACTGGTCCACTGACCAGAGCAATGAACAGACAAAAAGTCAATCGAGGGAGACTCACGCGTTGTAAGTGAAAACCATCTTGTCACAGTAGTTTTCCTCTCCAGCAGCGCAATCATCGCAATGGCCAAAACGGCTCAAGCACGAATCGGACTGGGCACCAACACCGACACGGTCGCCAACCTTGATGCCACCAGTGGCCTTTGATCCAACTCGGACAGCAGTTCCAACGATCTCGTGGCCAACGACGACGGGGTAAGCCGTTGCACCCTATCGCAATTAGTTCATGAACCTCAAGTTGGCGCAAGCGTTTTTATTTTGGCCAAGTACATACCCATCCGGATCTCAATGTGTGAATGTCGGAACCGCAAATGCCGGAATGTGTGACTTTGATCTGTTTGCATCTGTCAGTTGGCACTGCGCGCCGCATTATCAAGTTATGGCACTCATGTTATCATACATCAATATCCGTCTCTTCCCAAGCCTTGGGCTGGAACTCTGACCAGCGCATGTTTCCCTCAGCAGACGAGGCGTCCAGCGCCTGCCATCCCTCGAACTTGTAATCAGTGGATGAGCTCATCTTGAATAATGTGTCTAAATAGTGCACTTGGAATAAAAGTACAAGGAATATCAATGAAAGCAGTCTTGAATGAAGAATGGTTGACAATTGAAGACGTTTTTTGCGGTACGGCCCTTACACTTATATCACATTTGACAATGATGAACTTGACGCCGTTGCCCCTGATCAACAGGACCCATTACTGTTGCCTTCTCCATTTTGCAAGCCTTGAAATCAGACACCATTACAAAGCAGATGTTTAGTTCATGTGTATCCGAATCGCCGTCTGGTGCGTTTCGTCATTGTGCAAACTGGGAGAAGCTCCCAGCTTGGTTGGAAGCATACGCCAGCAAAACAGGACTGGACACAAGAATTGATCGGGAGGTTTCTTCCACGTGGAGCAGACCCGATTATTGTTCCACATTGGTGTCCGTCCGCTAGAATCGAACCCGAGCTCACTGCCGCGAGTGCTTCGGTGTCTGTTCTCGAACGTGCTAAATATGAGGCTCCGTCGGATCCGGCTCGGGCTAATAACCTAGAGCTGTGGATTTTCAACGAATGCCCCCATTAAAAGTTTTCTTCAACGGCCATACCCGAGTGCGGAACGCTGCCCGCACCTGTCAAATTTTTTGAATATGATTAATGCAGACACATTTGCTTAAATGCCGCAGTCGCGATATTGTTCTTTTTTTTTTTACCCTATGGGAAATCGCGGCTGGCAAAGAGTAAATGCTGTGCTACACAGTAGTTTGTCTTGGATGTACTGCAGTCTAGCAGGGCAATTATATTGACGATTCATGTTTTCCAATAACCAGGACCGCTGGATCATCGCTTATATAATGCCTCTCAGGGATTTGTATTAGTGACCAGCGCCCTTGCCATTCAACGGATGCACTCGACGAGCTTTGTTCACCACAGTGGGACGTTTCCTATGAAACTGTCACCGTGTCATGGCATGAATCTTCGGCATTCGGTAATTTGTCGCTCACTTGAGCAAACGGCATATGAGAGCATCGGCGTTTTGATGCAGCGGAGTTAGGCGATTATATGCACAAATATTGGAGCCTGACCAGGAGAACATTAGATTCTCGAATATTGTCTTTTTTGTATTGTCTCGTTTGCACAATACTCTGAATAGCCCCCCTTCAACAAAGACTGGGATCGTAGTGTACCAATAAATTCAACAAGTCCCCAATATGGCCTCCCATGCCTAAAAATTGCAGTCATATGTTTCCATGTCTGAGATTTTCACCTACAGGAGTTGAAACTTGAGAGCGTGCAAACTCATCAGTCATATACTTGATCATCATGAACCTTGAAGGTGAGCCACTTTTGGCATACTGGCCTGAAATCCAGCAACTCCCATTTGGCTTGACAGACAGGCTAAAAGAGACTTCTCCAGCTTATTTCTATCTTCGCGGGGAATAAGGCTTAGCCTACGGCACAGCAACCATGCTGATTCTCTGAAATGGGGAAGCATTGATTATTATAATCGTCCAAGAGAATCACGGTCCATGCAATATTAGTGACTCAAGAATCAGCAGTTCGATTGTGTGATGGGCTGCATTATCTGTTTGATAAAAACGGCGCAAAGATACAGTGATAATAAGCAGTATTAAAACAAACCAATCCTCCCATACTTGACAGTAAATATCCATGAACTCTACCGCGCTTCTTCACAGCTATTTATCATGACAAGGTCACCAACCAACCACATGAGTTCCTCCACTCAAGTTCAGAAAGGTGTATGCAGAATCCAGGCCGCAGTGTTTAATAGGGCCTTTGACCAACTATATTTCCAGCGCTCCAATACCTACCGACTGTGTAGATACGACCACTGCGTGATCTAGCACTAGCCATGCCAATTCTGCTGGTACTCCACCACATACTCTGAGCTAAGCACCAGTGTTAGTCAGAGCACTATAAACAAAATACTGGAAATCGTGTCTTACTATAATGGCCATACGACTCAAAGTCTCCATTTGGAATAATCTGACCCCAATAGTTTTCCGACTCTGCCATCCACATATTCGCCGAGGCACTCAAGGGATTGCTGCCGCCACTAAGACAAGACACGAGCAGATATTAGCTTGCCTTTCCTCTGGGAAAATGGATGTGCATACCTGATCCAGGCTAGGTTCTCACCCTCACTGCCCCGACGAGTGGAATGTACCATCTGGTCAATGTACGCCAGATGATTCGCCCAGTTTTGAGCATCCTGCTGCAGAATGCGATCCCATACCAATGGTCTCAAGTTTCTTCCTCGTCGATAACTGTTCTGGATGTTCAGAGCATTCCATTGATCATATGTCAGCCAAATTTGGTTGTTGCCTCCTCTCGAATTGCCACCTCCCTGGTTGCCACCCCTTTGGTTGCCTCCTTGGTTGCCGCCTCCTCTTTGAAAATCTCCACCTCGAAATTGACGCTCGACAATCGCAGGCTTGTTGAGAACTGCACCATGACTCGAATGTATCAAAAGGAATGGCAGGAGCAGGAGGATCAACCTTACAGCTCCGAGACTCAATTGTGCCATGGCAAAAAATGACAAGTTAAAGGAGTGTGTGAGGTGAGCTGCTGTTCCAGGTCACATTGAAAGGTCTCAGTCCATGCAAGACTAGTTATACTTCACAGCTGTTCTACGTAAGCTTTCAGGGGCAAATGAGTTGCTGCGATTTAGCTTTGCAGCCGCCAAGACGGGCGGATAAGCCGCAAAATCTTGGTGAATTTCATAGCATGTATTCAATCCAAAGCGATGCTAGCTTTGAACAGCTGTGGTCTGCCGTAAAAGTTAGATGGTAAACCTTCCTTTGTGGAAATGATGGTGGCGAACGGGTCAGCTACGCTTCGGTCCATGAGAGACCGAGACCAGCCGGGATATTATTTGGACTTTGATTTTAGAATTCCATCTGAATTTTCAGAATGTCCATCGCCTCTTTGATGCTCTTGGTGCTAAGATGCGTCTGAGCTTATGCGTAGATGAGGATGTATGAATCCTGCCATGTTAGATTGGACAAATCATCGAGAAGGACAAATATGGATTCTTTTTATTTCAATTTGCAGTATTTCCAGACTTGATTCAGTTTGAAGCATGATATGAAGTTATTGAAATCTATAATCATCCTTGCAATGCATTACCATGTCAGTTTCCAGCCTTGGGATGAATTCCAAGCCAGTTTGCAAATGCTTTCCCCAACTTGACACATTTCTCGTCAACAAGGCGCCAAAAGTAATCGGCAGAAACAAGCAAAAGAGCGAGGATTGTAAAATACATGATGTAAAAGGATCGATCCATTGGCCAATGAAGAACATTAACCATGCGGATCATCATTGCCCATCCAGGCCACAGGAAACCCATCCAGTGCAGCAGGTAGAAAGCAAAACTTATCTCACCCAAGTACAAAATGGGCGCCGTCGAGAGTAGCCATTGAGCAGGAGGGAGATTCTCGACAGCAGCCAGTAACACTGGTGCAGTAGCATAGCTCCAGAAGAAGGCAACGGACTCCGCGTCGGTCCTCCAAGCACTCGGTGTGAATTGCGACAATGTCTGGAAAGGCTCAACATTCTTGGGTCCACTCTCTGGCCAGCCCATGACCAAAATTGACAAAAGTAGGACGCAGATCGAAAGTGTGTACGTGATGTGCCATGGGACCTTGAGACGAAAGGGCAAGTCATCAGAAAGGGGGCATAGTCGCAGCTCGGCGAGAAACATGCCAGCCAAGAAAGTGAACACATCTCCGCGTTGTAGATAGAGAGCCCAGAATGCCGAGCCTAACACTATAATTTTGCGAGCTTGCGTTGACAGTCGCGCCGTAGCCATGCACATGAGAAACACAACCATGGAGCCGCGATATTCTACCGGAAGAGTCCAGCATTGGTTGAAAGACGTTGGATGATATGTGCCCCACTGGAATGGGTTGAAGACTGGTAATGTTATACCAACAAAGCGCCATATGTGCTCCCAGAATGTCGGGTCGTTTGCTCTCCAATTCCCAGGAGAAAAGGATGGGTAATACCACGTGGCGAGACAGGACATGCATGCCACCACAAGCATGGGTGCGAACAAACGTATGCCACGACGCAAGATGGAGGAACAGAGGCCAGTGATGAGCTCGTCAGCAGCGAGTGTCGGTGATGCGGGGACGTTGGTAAGTGGCAGCGCGTCAAGCTAATGATATATATCAGTCCATTGAATCTTTGCATTGTGGGAGCATCATCCTACCTCTGTTGTCATGCGGTCCTCCCATCGCCTCTTTGACATGGCAGTGATCTTTTTCAATGGCGAGTACGTGAGCACGAACCCTGAAAGCACAAAAAAAATCCCCACCATGCCTTTGCCAGCATATATGATGCGAATGATTGGCAACTGACTGAAGCCATGGTTACTACTAGCAGGCTCGGCGCCGTATGGATTACTTGCGAACTCTCGAAAGTAATGTATGTTGACGTGCTCTGTATAAACAATCAAACAGGCAATGCCACGAAACCCATTCAGGTACGACGTTGACGTTGCTTTAGGGAGCTTTCGTGTGGTTTTGCCGAGAGGTGCAGCTACAAACCAGGGCAGCAGACTCCAATACCATCTTGGTGTTGACTCGACATGCTTCTCTGAGAGCGCTTGATCATACGCACAAGGATCTCCCCGCGACAAATCTTGAGGCAAAGGATGGTAAGCAGGTTGAATCAATTTGAATAAAGATGTCATCTTATTGACAGCACCAATGAATTGTTGTGACATTGTAGTTTATGTCCTTGTATAATGCGATGAATGGTCCATGCATGAAAATGGAATCTTGCGACCATGTCCATGAAATATAAGGAGGTGGAAATGACATGGGAAGGAAAGAGTCCTTGAAAGGCTTTGCTATACGTGTTCAAATTTATTGCAGCCAAGCTTAAAAGGTTGTAAAAGCAAATATGTTAAGGATTTATTCCGCAATGAAACATGCAAATATGGAAGATGTGATGGTGCATATGTTATAAAGCATAATGCGTGCTTATTGCGGCTTGCATTATTATTATTCGATTATAAGCAAAAAGTATATTTATATAATAAAATATTTTAAAGTATAATTAGTAAATTATATAATTTAATTATAAAGAAGCGTTTATATAATTCGTAAAATTAAGCCGTAATATTACGAATATACACTTTTATATACGGTAAATAAAGGGTGTTAACGCTTAAAAAATAATATACGGGGCTTAAAATTAAAGTCCTTAAATATTTTAAATAAAAATTAAAATTAACACCCTTATTAATTATTAATAGCCGTTAATAAGCTTATTATAAAATTAATAAATTAAGCGTAAACGTTATTATTATAATGGCAATTTAAAAATATTAATAAGGGAATAAATAAATATATATTATAAAAGGATTTTTTATATAAATAATTATTATTTTAATAATTAATTATATTGGATTTTTTTATTTAAACCTTTAGGTTAAAAGTAAAAACTTTGCTAATTAGCAAAATATGCTTTTTAATTAATTATATTTCTCCATTTAGGGATAAACCCTTATTTTTCCCTTTAAGGATAAATCCTTATTTCTCCCTTTAAGAATAAATCTTTATTTTTCCCTTTAAAAATAAACCCCCGTTTTTCCCTTTAAGAATAAATATCCTTTAATAAAAATAACCGTATATATTTATATTAAAACGAATCGCTAAAAATAAATATATTAATAATACCGATTAGCAAAATATAATAATTAGCATAATAGCAATAATAAAAACGACCTTTTTTAATTAATAAAAATATTCGTAAAAGCTAAAAAAAATAAATAAATAAAAAATAAAAAAACCAACGCGTATTTAAAAAAATAAATAAAAAAAATATTATCGATAAAAATAAAATCGAGCTAATTAAAAAGGCTTTAAATTACCTAATTAAAACCCGATAAATACCGCTAATTATTCGCGTTTATTTTTATTTTTTAATTTCGATTATCCGCAGCCTTTAATCTTTTTTTTTAGGCAAAAATTATTATATTATAATATTATTAAATGTATTAAAATATAATATAAACGATTTAAGCCTTTTTAGCGCTAAGCGAGCTAAAACGTTTTTAAATAAACTTATTTTATAATTTAAAGGAACCTTACGTTAAATTCGTCCGATTTATATAAGCCTTTTTATTTTTATTTTAAAAACCGGGGGTAAAATTCGTTCGGTTAAAAACGTAAAATTTATTTAATATTAATTATATTGGATTTCTTGTTTAAGCCTTTGGGTTAAAGGTAAAGATTTTGCTAATTAATAGGATATACCTTTTAATTAATTATATTTTTCCCTTCGGGGATAAACCCCCGTTTCTCCCTTCGGGGATAAATATCTTTTAATAATAAAAATAACCGTATATATTTATATTAAAACGAATCGCTAAAAATAAATATATTAATAATACCGATTAATAAAATATAATAATTAGTATAATAGTTATAAAAAGGATTTATTTTAATTAACGAAAATATTCGCAAAAGCCGGGAAAAGAAAAATAAATAAAAAATAAAAAAATTAACGCGTATTTAAAAAAAGTAAATAAAAAAATATTATCGATAAAAATTAAATTAAGCTAACTAAAAAAGCTTTAAATTATTTAATTAAAGCCCGATAAATACCGCTAATTATTTGCGTTTATTTTTATTTTTTAATTTCGATTATCCGCAGCCCTTAATTTTTTTTTTCGGGCAAAAGTTATTATATTATAATATTATTAAATATATCGAAATATAATATAAATAATTTAAGCCTTTTTAGCGCTAAGCGAGCTAAAACGTTTTTAAATAAACCGTTTTTTATAAAATAGCCGAATTTTATAAGCTTTATATTATAAAAATGCCGGTAAATACCTTAATTATTATTTAAAATAAAGGTTATAATCGCGTATTTAATCATTAATAAATAAAAAAATTAGTTTTAATATTTTAAGCCGGATCGATAAATCGTAATAATAGCGAATATTATTCACTAAGCATTCCCAGCGTTAAAGTTAGGCCATTGCCATTTCCACAAAAGTGAGAATTACTATATTTGTTTTAGTGTTTTTAATTTTTATATAATAAAACCGTTATATCCTTTGCCTTTGCTTTTATTATTATTATTATAATATAAAAAGCGTTAAATTAAAGTTAATTTTTTTATAATTTAATAAAAATTAATAAGTAATATATAATAATAATAATAATAATTTTTTTAACGTAATACTAATAATTTTTTTAGCGCTATGCTAATAATTCCTTTAGCGTAATAGCAATAGTTTTTTTAATATAATTAATTAATATTAATAGCTTTTTTAATATAATAGCAATAGCTTTTTTAGCGTAATAGCAATAGCTTTTTTAATATAATTAATTAATATTAATAGCTTTTTTAATATAATAGCAATAGCTTCTTTAATGTAATAGCGATAATTCCTTTAGCGTAATAGCAATAGCTTTTTTAATTATAATAACGGTAATTTTTTTAGCGTAATAATAATAGCTTTTTTAGCGTAATAAATATAATTCTTTTAGCGTAATAATAATGATTTTTTTAATATAATTATAATAGCTTCTTTAATATAATAGCGGTAATTCCTTTAGCATAATTATAATAGCTTTTTTAGTATTATAACGGTTAATTTTTTTAACGTAATAATAATAGTTTTTTTAGTATAATAGCGATAATCCCTTTAATATAATAATAATAGCTTTTTTAGCGTAATAAATATAATTCCTTTAGCGTAATAATAATTCCTTTAATATAATTATAATAGCTTTTTTAATGCGATAACGGCAATTCTTTTAGCGCAATAATAATAATTTATTTAGCGTAATAAATATAGCTTTTTTAATATAATATTAATATTTTTTATATCGTTATAGCTATAACCGGTAATATTATTATAATAATTATTTTTTTAAATAAAGCGCTATTTCGATAGCGTAATTAGCTATTATTAGCGCCGGTAATTTAGCCGAAAAAAAAAACTTTATATAATTTATCGCTATTCGTTAAAATATTTATATATTATATTTTAATTTTTTTTTAAAATAAAATCGTATTTATTAACGTAATTAACGATATCGCGTTAAAACCGCGATTAATTTTAAGCTATTAGCGGTATTTATTCGCTTATTATACGATTTAACAGAAAAAATTATATTTTTAGCTTTTAGCGGCTTATAATAATTATTCGCAATATTATAATATATTAATATTTATCGTAATTATACGATTATTTGCTAAAGCAATAGGCTATTAGCTATAACGCCCGAAAAATAAAAATAATAATTATATTTTTTTTCGATTTGCCTAAGCTTTCTTTTCCCGATTAGCCCGTATCCGTATATATTAACTAATACCTTTATAATTAAAGAATTATAGCTAATTAATTATTTAATAATAATAAATAAAAAACGAAAACCCTTAAAATATTATTAGCTTTTTAAATATGCGCGATCCTATTTACGATTAATTATTTATAATATACGATAATGCTAATTTTTTTATTAATACTAATTACGCCGAAAATCAAGCTTTATTATTTTTCCCGAATTAAAAGCTTTTAAATTACGCCGCTCGCTTTTTTATATGTTATTCCCGTAAAGCAAATTCGCGCCTTCGCGCGCGCTTTATTATTAGCTAATAATTTAAATATTAATATTATTAATTTCCGGAGCGACGATATAATATTATTAATAGCTAATTATATATTAAATTATTCGAAAGCGCAAATTTATTTTTTATTAAAATTACTCGTTAGCAAATAATTTTATTATTAATATATATTAATTTTAATTTCGATAATTACTATTGCTTTATATTTAATCCTTATAGCGATTACGCTAATATTTAGCTTATTTTAAAAAGCTATATAAGATTTCCTATAAAATAATTTTTTATTATTTTCGATATTAGCGATAATAAAATAAATTTAAACTAAAACGCAAATTAAAATAACGATTAAAACGATATAAATTAATTATAATAAAAATATATAAATAATAATAATAATATATAATAAAATAAAAATAATAATAATAAATATAAAACAATATAATTATAATTAATATTTTTATAATTAATAATAATTATATTACGCAAAATTATATATTTATTTATAAATTTTATTTTTAATAATAATAATTATACTTAAATTATTTAAATATATGCAAAGCCTAATTAAATGCTATTTTATAATAAATAATAAATATTATAACGGTATTATTTATTAAAACGATTATATTAAAACTATTATATTAAGGCTATTATTTATTTTAAATATATTAAAATATCGCTTATTATATAAAATAATAGGTAACGGTAAAAATATAAATAATTAGTTATAAATAGCGAAAACAGCCGCACCGGCAGCTATTCCCGCTATTTTTTTCTATTAGCGCTTACCGCCCCACCGCCTTTTTTAAATTACTACTATTTCTCCCCACTATTATTATTCCTCCCTTATTATTGCTATTTTATACTCCATTAAAACAATTAAACCAAAATAAAACAACCTTATTAAAAGCATTGTAACGCAATTGCCTTTCCTAATTTATCGAATAATTGCATTTACACCACTCACTAAGCATTCCCAGCGTTAAAATTAAGCCATTACCATCTTTATAAAAGTAAAAATTACTATATTTGTTTTAATATCTCTAATTCTTATATAATAAAACCGTTATATCCTTTGCTTTTACCTTTATTATTATTATTATAATATAAAAAGCGTTAAATTAAAGTTAA